TGAGTTGGTCTCAGATTCTCCAACAAGCACTCCATGCCGCACCTAGGGTAGGCAGTTTGGTTCTTGAACGAGGTGAACTGTTTGAGACTATCCAAAATGCTTGTCCTGACTATCAGATTCGAGTCATTGAACTGTGCAAGGGAGCGGGCCATTTCCGCAAACCACCCACGAAGCTGACGAAGCATGAAGCTCCGTGGCGAATGACCTTCGGTCTGCATCGTCACAGCCTTGAGCCTTTCGAACCGACTCCATGGATCCACTGGGAAAGCATGAGCAATCGTCAAATGTGTAGCTCGGCACCACCCTCCAGAATCCTGATTTCTGTTTTTGCTCGTCAAGTGGGTAATCAGGGTGAGGTCAGTAATCAAAGTAACGATGCTGAAGCCAACCTGAATCCCCGAAAACATGAACTAGAGTCATCCATGGACATGCAGAACAAAAGATTCAGGAGTGAACATGACAGCCCTGATGTTCCCCTACCTGCACAGCCCAATCCGCCAATATCAGAAACGGTTGAGCAATCAGGTGATGTGCCCTGTTCTAATCAGACATGCAATCGAGATATCGAACAACTGGCCGAGTCCACAGCACAACATGGTCCCAAGTATCTCAGCCTCAAGCCAGCAGTTAGACAATGGATATCCAAGATTCACCATAATCTAGGTCATCCGAACTGTCAGAAGCTGAAAAATGTGCTGTCCCAACAGGGATATGCCCCTGAGATCCTGCAAGGGGTTGATGACTTTCGATGCAGTACCTGCCATGAAGTGCAGGGCCCTCGCATATCGCGACCAGCGGCCATTTCAGAAATTCGAGAGTTCAATGATAGCATTGGCTGCGACCTGATCACTTGGACATCGCCAAAGAGCCATAAACAATTCCAGTTTCTTCACGTGATTGATGCAGCCAACAACTTTCAAGCAGCCATCCCAGTTTTTAGAACTGATGCATCAGCCCTCCATGAAGCACTGCAGGATTGTTGGTTTCACTGGGCAGGTCCAAGCAAACAATTAGTAGCCGACAATGCGTCAGGAATTTGTTCCGATGAATTCATTCAGCTTGCTCAGGGTCTTGATTTGCATCTCCGTATTGTGGCCGCGTTTGCTCACTGGCAATTGGGACGCACTGAAAGACATGGGGATATCTTACAACACATGCTTGAGAAGTTTGATCATGATCATCCACTAGAAAATCACGAACAGTTCAAAATGGCTTTGAGAGAGTGTTGTAATGCCAAGAATTCCCTATCACGCTTCCGTGGATACACCCCTGAGATTTTGGTTTTAGGAAAAGCCCGAAAGCTGCCTGGAAGTTTGAGTGAAGAGACTGGCACAGCCTCCCAATACCTGGCTGACTCTGAGACACCTGAAGGCTTGGCTTTTAGAGAAAACCTGGCCAAGCGTGAAAGTGCACGTCTTGCTTTTGTCCATGCCGATCATAGTGAAAAGCTTCGGAGGGCGTTTTTGCGAAGACAGAGACCCCACCGTGGACATTTCCCAAGCGGTGCCTTCGTCATGTTTTGGCGTCCAGGTAGAGGCGAAAATCCAGGCCAATGGCATGGGCCGGCCCGAGTGATAGTGCAAGAAGCTGAACATGTCATTTGGGTTTCCTTTGCCAGTAGGGTTTATCGAGTTGCCCCAGAACATGTCCGTGTTTTGTCTGAAAGGGAAGCAGGAGAGCAACTGTCCAACATGTCCAGGAGTGACATGTCTATGCCACCCAAAGAAGTTGGAAAAGGAGTATTTCAATATGAAGACCTTACGGGGATTCCTGCGATCATGCCTGAAGAAAACATGCCAATCCCAAACGAAAATGTGACCTCCAAAAATCCACCACATATCCAAATTGATGCAGAGCACCAACCTGACTCAGAACCGAGCATGCCACCACCATCCATTCACTCCAATGAATATACCCCGACTACTCCACTTAGTAATATTCCTGATGATAACGTAAACCCCGAAACAGTAACCAACCCTATTGAAGTTCCCGTACCAGTTGACAGTAGTGATGATGACCTCGTCATGGAAGATGCCTGGATTTGTCAAAATGACAAAGTCATCCGCGTGCACCATCGGCCTCGGACTGCAGCTTTTGATCCGAGCACTTGTTCCGACTGCCCTGTGGATCTCTTGTCCATATGTGGAGAACGCACCACTTCCGGCAACAGCCCAGGAAGGTCCATTTGGACATATCGGGATCAGTGGGGTGCGGATGATCACCAATGGTCGACAGAGCAACCATGGACTGGAGTCACAATTTTTACTGTCATCAAAGAGGAAACTGTGAACCATGTGCTAGAGGAAGACATCATGCATGTCGAAGAAGGTCAAGCATTCGAATGTGAGATTTTTCTTTCAGAATCAGAATGCCAAAAGATCTGTGAAGATCCACACCAATTCCCAGTTCTTGCAGCAGCGGCGGCGAAGCGCCAACGAACTGAAGTAAAGCTGAGAGACCTCTCATTGTCAGAACAAGCAGACTTTCAAAAGGCAAAAGAAAAGGAAATCAGTCAATGGCTAGACACAGAAACTGTACGGAAAATCCTTAGGTCTAGAATCCCAGACAAGAACATTCTTCGATGCCGGTGGGTACTTACGTGGAAGGATTTGGATCCACAAGAAGCACATGTAGAAGGCAAGTCACGTAAACCTAAGGCACGTTTAGTGGTGCTTGGATATGAAGATCCTGACCTAACGGAGATTCCGCGGGATTCACCGACCCTTCAAAAAGAATCTCGTTCTTTATTACTCCAACTTTGTGCCTCCAGAAAGTGGCGAGTCAGGAGCTTCGATGTGAAAACTGCGTTTTTACGTGGATCCCGTCGAGACAACCGGGTGTTAGGCCTGGATCCTCCTCCGGAACTTCGCACAAAGATGGGTCTGAAAGATACAGAAATTTGTGAGTTACTCAAATCAGCCTATGGGCTCGTCAATGCACCCTTCCTATGGTACTCAGAGTTGAAGGACTACCTGCTTCACCTAGGCTTTGTGCTGAGTCCCTTAGATCCCTGTGTATTCGTGTTAGCTGACCAGCAGGGCAACGTCCACGGAGCCATCGGCACTCACGTCGATGACGGTCTTTGTTTTGGTGACAGTGTTTTTGATGCCGCTTTGACTCAGCTGGAATCTCGCTATCCTTTTGGAGCAAAGAAAGAGTCTGACTTTGTTTTCACTGGAATCCACATCAGTCAGGATGCCCAGTATAATATTCATTTGGACCAGACTGACTATGTCCGGAGTATTGAACCAATCTCAATCGATCGTTCCAGAAGGAAGCTAGAGCAACTTGAAGTGACTGAAGCTGAACGTCAGGGCCTGAGAGGACTCATAGGGTCCTTACAGTATGCAGCCTCAAATACCCGACCTGACATTTCGGCACGTTTGAGTTTTCTGCAATCCAAGATTAACTGTGCCAAAGTTCATGACTTGCTGGAAGCCAACCGTTTACTTGGTGATGCACAGAAACATGCTCACATTGGTGTCACGATTTCCAGTATCCCTGATGATGAAATTCGTATGGTAGCGTATTCTGATGCTTCATTTGCCACTCGTGAGAAACAGCAATCTCAAAAGGGGGCTTTGTTTCTGGCTGTTCATCAAGATGTTTTTGGACAACAAAAAGCCTTGTCTAGTCCACTCACATGGTACTCCAAGAAGATCGAGCGTGTTGTGGCATCCACCTTGGCTTCAGAGACTTTTGCTCTTTCGTCCGCTGTAGATCTCCTCAATTGGCTGCGCCTTGCATGGTCCTGGTTGAGAAATCCAACTATACCATGGCAAACTCCTGAGAAGGTTTGGCTCAGTGAACCGCCAAGCATAGCTGTAGTCGATTGCAAATCCCTTTATGATGTCATCTCTAAGAATACGACTCCGCAATGTCAAGAGCATCGTACTTTGATTGAGGCACTGGTGATCAAAGAAAATATTCAACAAGGTATTAGACCTCATTGGGTCCATTCAGCAGCACAACTTGCAGACGCCCTCACCAAAGTCATGGATCCATATCAGCTCCGAGAGTTCCTCAAACATAAGTACTGTTGCTTGCATGATGTTCAAGAAATTCTCAAACAGCGAGCCGACAAGAAAGCCCAGAAAACCTGGCTGTCCAAAGCCACCACGGAAAGTCAACATGAATGCCAAAATGGCGATTCTCCTCCATGGCCTGCCTGGGGTTAATCCATCTAAAAGATAAAACTATAAATAATAAAGAAATTTTGGGAGTGTGATTTGTCTATTTCCCAAACCTTGTGCACCAATCCGGGTTGTGTCATCGCCATGTCCGCATGCTTGACCAAAGGGGTTTGCCAACTTCCTCTGCATCCGGCATTTTGCTTGAAGGCCCAAGAGGGGTTGACCTGTGGTGTGCCTGGAAAAAGGGCACTAGGCGCGTGGTCTTTGTTGGAGCCATAGGGTTGGCCTTTTACATCATTTCCATATCGATCGTGGACGATCTTCCTTCGGTTATTGGTTCAGGAGGACCCCCATTTCTCATCTTGGTTGGATCAGGGAATCCAAGGTACATCTTCAACTGGAGTGTCAAGGCCCCTACCATTGCATCATCCGCAATATGATTGTATATATATATATGATTATATATATATATGATTGTATATATGCCATTCCCTGGTTTCTTGGTGAATCTTGGTGATATGTCTCCTGCAGTATCCTTGCAATGAGATTCGACATCCTAGACCGAGCATGACCGAGCCAAGACTCACAGGGGAAAGGTCGAAATTGAGACATCATGTGGATACATTGCAAGCAGCAAGCATGGGGATATATTATGATATATTAATTTAGGTTTATAAACAAACCTTTCATGGCCATTGGAAATGCATAGAACAACTTGAAAATATATGAACTAATATGAAATGATAGTGAAACAAAAAGAATCTATATATTATACAGAATGTGTTTTTTTTTTCTCATGAAATACTTGTTGGCATTTTCAAATCGGATTTTTTTCGCTAGTGATGATGGAACCTCTAGGCTTCTGGCCATCGGCGCCAAGGCTGGTGACGAGACCACGATGGCCGCCAGGGCTGAGAACAAAGCGGCCACGCAGGTCAAGGCCTGGAGCGCTCGGTGATGTTTCGCTTCACAGCTACGGATTGGAAAATGGGCTACAATGTGAGGCCCCCAAACGATAGCTAAGTTGGTGAACATAACTCCAATTTCACTATGGTTTATGGTACTTATAACTATAGTCACTGGGGCTTATAAACCAACTAACATCACTGGGGGGCCACATTGTATGAACACTAAGAGGATCTCAGGAAGTACGTTTTGGATCCATGATCCTCATGAGATTAGGGTGTATAGGTACGGATAAAAGGGTCACCAGATGCGACATTCTTTTAATGCGGTTATCATGAACCACAAATGGGGTGACTTACTGACTTATGACTGGTATAACTAGGGAAACATAGGGTGAACTCGCCAGGGATTTTGCAGGGGACTATATACTTGGAGGATCATCTTACTGTCCTTGTAAGTGGCTAATAACCCTAGTGAGTAAGTCGCCATTCAGTGCAGTTGTGCCGTGTATAACTGGGCTATAAATCTTCTGAAAAAGAAAATTACTAAGTGAGATAAATCTCCAAGTAACTGTCACAATTCCCATGTCAAAATGTTTTGTTGAAAAGATCATTCTTTCTTGATACTTTACACGGTTTTGATGTATATAGTTATGGAAAGTGATATGTATATGTGTATATATATATATTGGGATGTGTATATTTTGATATATATATATATATATATTAAATATCAACATACACATGTGTTTCTATATAATATACGTGCAATTCTATTCTTATCATAGCATATCACAAGAAACTGAAAAGATCCGGTACAATCCGCCAAACTTTCTGAGGGTTTTGGTTTGTTGTTAAGAAATCCTGGCTCAAGGTTGCGATAATATGTATATGTATAGAATATGTATAGATATGTATAGATATGTATAGATATGTGTAGATGATATGTATACTGTACAATGGCTATAGAAATCAAATTTAGGGATCTAGTATGATCCACTATTTTGTGGGAGATTTTGGGGCTTTGCGACAGCCACGGAATCCAGTTGACTTCCCAGAAAACAGGGGGTGGGCATTGGTTGGGACATGTTGGAACAAGCCTGACTTTCGGGAATGGTATATCAAACAGTCAATTTTGCACATGTCCAAAATTTGAACAACACGTGAAATGAACATCAAAATGGTACCACAAAAAATGCAGTATGTTTATGTTTATATAGTGTTGTTGGGCATTGCCAGTGGCTCGCTCACGGGCCCACTACATAGCTAAGTTGACTTGTGGGGGACATAACTACAGTCAATGGGCTTGATAAACCAACTTATAACTGGACTGCTCACCTTGAAATATTATCTTGGGGTTCCATGTTGGATAAGGTGATGTATCAACATACAAGATGAAAAATTGTCGAAGTAATTCTTTATTCCGAGAAACACCGCAGTAAAACCATGTATTCCAGCTTCACATGAACACAAACAGGTGATTTCATGAGAATTTGTTCAACTAAAATGAAGGTTTAGTTCGCCGGAAAACTCATCGAACTACATCGGAGATATTCATGCAAACCATGTTTTTTGACACCGGAGGGTGCATATACATATAATATCATTATGTATATATATAATTATTTGTACATATATATATATATATATTATGATGTTATATAATGTTATATATGTATATCAAGTGTCATCATATCCCATTGTAAACCCACATCTAATAGATGCGGGAAAAAAACCAATCGATATTCCATCGCCAAGCTATCCCATCCCCATCTCTTGGTGCGCCTGTGCTAAGAGAGCTGGCAAGCGCGTGTCGAGGCAGTCCAAGTCCTTGAGCATTGGAAGTCGGTAGTTGGAAGTCGGAAGTCGAACCGGCAGGACAGGCAATGTTTAAACGGATTTAATGGTGATTTAATGGTAATTTGATGGGATTTGACAGGATATTATGGTGATCTAATGGTGATTTACTGGTAATTTAATGGGATTTAGTAGGATTTAATCGACATATGTTCCCACCTTGTGGCTATGGTTCACCTACAATAGGGTTGAGCGACCCGGTGTAGAAGTTACCAATCGAACCACACTAGCCCATTGAGCTAAGGCATCCTTGCGGACTTTCCTATGTTGGTTGCTTACAGCTTAAATCACAACATGCTTAAACTTACTGGTGCTAAACGTAGGGAATGGGGGAATTATCAATATGAACTATATCAACCATCATCCCATTTTTATCTAATTATTCCCCATTCCCTACGTTTAGCACCAGCAACTAAAAAATGTTATCGTTCACAAAGAATTACAGTACATATTCTTAGTATATACTAAAACTCTATATCAAATATATTTATATATAGAATATATCCTACGAAAATATATTATATTAACGATATCATGATTCACTATCGAGCACAAAATTCGCGTCGAACTTGCCTTGGCAAAGCGCGACAGGAGCTGCCCCGGCACCGAAGTCAAGGGGACATCCTTAGGGGCAGAACACATCGCTGGGAAATCCCGAAAAATTGGGTCAGTGAGATGGATCAGATATATCATCTGGACTTGTGGGAGATGTCCGGTTTTGAACCAAAGAAAAAGGACTTAAGCATAAACACTTAAGATTTGAGCAACAAGAATCATGGTCAGTAAACAGTCAGTATAATATAGTATAATGCAGTTTAATGTGGATATAGTGCGGATAATCCAGTCAACATAAACATAGAGTTACTACCCAGTTATATATGGAAGTAGACCAATAGGAATGAAGATAGAACATAATATAACTTGCAAACATGCCAATTTGCTGAAACCAATGATGATCAGCAACTACCCTTCGGGAATCAAGCATGGCTAGCTTGGACATCCCCTACAAGTATAAATGGATATGTCCATGGGAAAAAATATCGGACTAAAAACTTGGTGTGCGTATTCCAGTCAACAGATTTACATCTTCAGCTTGTGGTTGGTAAATGGATGCAACTGGTTGGCTTCACTGGGGACACTCTATCCCCCTCCATCCTCTCCATGATGACTAGGGTAGTCTTTATCTGTTTGCATTTCCGCACACTTCTGATTGTCTTGGATTTGCTTTACCAAAAACAACACATTCTGGAGGTTTCCTAGAATGGGAATACCCCTAAATCATCCATGTTAATAGGATCTTCCATGAAATAAACCATCCATATTTTAAGAAACCTCCACGTGTTCCCTAAATCGATTCCCCTAGTGATGATCCATGGCGAAAATGCTCGCCCAATCATCCCAGATCACGTTCCTCAGGATGACCGTGGCTGGGGTAAACCGGCCATAGGTGCTCGCAGCACACACCAAAGACCATCTGCATGCCTCAGCTTTGGCACGACTGCAACTTGGGCACCGAAAAGAATGGTTGAAACATGCTGAACCAACATGGAATGACAGGCAAGAGGTATTCAAGACATTGGTGAAATCTGTCGGAACCCGTAAGAATCGCAGTTTGCCTTTCAAATGTCCGGGTCCCTGGGTAGTAGTTCAGTCATCAAGCAGTGCATAGTTGGAAAACGACTTCCCAGATTTTCCAGTAGGGACAGTCTTCAGTTGTCCAACTACAATATGCACTACTTGATGACAGAATGGGCAATGAACAATCAACACAGGAGACCTTCGTCTCGCAACAGAATCCCACACAAACAAACAGAACAACCCTGTTTTTTTCAGCTGGATTCAGTGACTTAAGCCCTGGTGAAGAAAACACGCCAACCTGAGGCGAAGAAAACATCCAGCTGTTGATAGTCTTACCAAGATGTTGTGGTTTTGTTCGGGTCCACAGTCCACACCAAAGCTTGATCTTGGATGACAACTGAAATAATGATCCATGGTCAGTATCGGGTATCCCCAGACACTCGATTATAGGTGAAGACTGTCACTGGCCACTCATTGCTGCTGGAGTTTTTGGTTGACATTCCAAGTCTGTTTTTTTTTCCGACTCCTCTTCAAAGAACTCGTTGGTCAAATCATCTTACCCTCTGGTTTGCTCAAACATGGCACCTGGAAAATCTTCAAACTCAATGGAGGTTTCGATTGAAAGCTGGGGAAATCATCAAACTAGAACTGGGATATTCCAGCAATCCATATTTGATGTCACCAGCAGGTATATCATGGTATATCCCACTGTTGGCTATAACATCTACTACAAGCTGGTCCCCAGTGAAATGTTTGTTCGTTTAGTTTCACCCCGTGAATACTAAAATAGCTAGATACAAGTATCATAAACCATCATAAACCATACAAACATTGGAGTTGTGTTTACTTCACAATGACATGGAGTTACTCGGTATAAGTATCTGAAAACACTCAAAATTTATCGAGTCACGTACGCCCCAACTAACTGAGCTCCATCTGAGCTCGTTGCAGCCGAGATGAGGCACGAAGACACAAAAGAGGCCAAGAAGCTGCCTGTCACGGACAGTGACTATCTGTAACTGTTACATAACATTTGTCAGAAATGAATTAACCAACCACTGGGAACATGACATCTTTAGATGAATAACATTGAATCACCAGAAAACAAATCATCTATGTGACTATGTGTTCTGAAATAGCCTCAATAGTGTGATGCTTCTGGAATGTTCCCCTTCATCATTTGTGTAGGGTTAGATTCACTTCTTCACCATGGGGTTAGTTTCGAATGTCAGATAATGATGAAAATAATTGGATGGATGAATCCATTTGCATCCTATGAACATGAGCGATTCCAACTATCTTAAGATTCAACCTATTATTCCATAGCTATACATTATATACCTCTAAATCCATCACATGAAAGCTACATCATAGAGTCTATGATCCCTTTTATAGTAGTAGCTTCCCAGTACCCCAAACCATGGACAAAAAAAAACAAATTGTCATGGTAATTCCTTCCCCCCAATCTTCAACACCCCGAAGCCCCTTGCGGATGTGGGTTGGGCGTTGGAAGATATCGGACCATTTTTACAAACCGCGAGAGAGAATATGAACAAGGGATGGAATTGTACTTCGCAAACAAATGGAATATTTATCTGGTTGGTGGTTTCAACCCCTCTGAACAAATAGTAGTCAGTTGGGATTCCTATGCCCAATGTATGGAAAAATAAAAAAAGGTTCCAAACCACCAACCAGTTATATACTATATTCACATTCATTCCATGTGGAGAATATCTAGTAATGACTAATGATCAATTGATTCATTTGATCAATTGATCCATGGCTTTTCATGCGAGCCGTTACGCCTGGCCTGCAAGGTCACAATGCTTGCAGCCAGCATGGCCAAGAGCACGAACCTCGTGGCCCAAGTGGCCGAAGTGGCCGAAGTGGCCGAAGTGGCCGAAGTACCATCTGTTCATTTAACATTGCTATGGACAATTTGAAAACATAAATCATATGTAATAATATATAATAATATATATATATATATGATATATATATATATATATAAAATACAATATATATATATTATACAATATATAGTATATATAGTATATGATATAATATCCCTATGGACCCAGCCGTGCCTGCTTAGAAAGTACAACTGGGGTATGATGACTAGGGGGTCAGCCGTACAATCACAAACAGTGTTTGGATGCATGGGGTTAATTAGTCAATCATCATCAATCATCTGTAAATAGGCCATCTAATACCTATGTTAAATAACCATAGGGGATAACATCAATAAATTGCCTCTCTCTCTCTCTATTTATATATATACATATATATATATAGAGAGAGAGAGCTATAGTTGATAACACATGATAACAGTACATAATTGGTTGTGTATATAAAAGTAACATAACTTATAGCCATAGCTTTCAATCCATTTAATGTGCGCAGTCTGCTGTAGCCATGGTCACATAGGGTCACCAATGACAATTTAAAGAACAAATCCCAGACACTCCATGGTGCTGGAATATTTACCTACATTTACCCCCAAAACGACCCAAATGTCGGTAAATATTCCAGCACCATGGAGCATCTTGGAATGAAGGTTTTTGCCATGGTCAGGATTTCCCGTCAATGACGTGGGTCCCAATTTAACCACCAAGCAGTCAAGATTGCAGCTCAAGTCATCAACGCTTAGCTCCAAGTCAACATCTAGCCCTGCATTTCCAGTGTTGTCGCAAAAGGGATTGATCCCACGTCCCATTGATTCCCAGTCGTGTTTTTAGTGAGGTAGAAAACATCGTGAAACTGTCACCCTGCCATCGCCAGGCTGGGAGAACGGGCACCAAGAGATTTGTAGAAGTCTCTGAATCACCTGCAGGGCCCGGGCCGCGTCAAAGTTATGGAAGTTCACCAGTTCACCATACAGAAATGGAACGACTATCAACGCGGAAGAGGTCGGGAGTCCTCTTAACCTGATGAACATGTCTTCTCTACATGCATCACATGCGGCAAAAGATTAGCAAACAGTCCCAACCACACGCGGATTATATGGCACTGACTAATATTGGAATCTTCCGGCTGCAGCTTCATCCACCAAACGGAAAAACTTCACACTGCAAACAATTCAACTCTGGTTAGTGGTCAGCAAACACTGAACTTCGAAAAAAGCATAGGACTGGAACATGGGCAGCAAAACTCATCAAACATTACTTACTCTCCAGTACTCAAACGTGGCTGGGAAACGGAAATAGGCCAAAAAATATCAAAAAATAGCGGTTTGAATGGGAACATCAGCTGTAAATGGTGGATTGTTTCCAGCACCTTTGATGACACCGGAGGGTACAAAAAATTGGACCCGCTAAAAAGCGCATGTTTCCTGAACAGGTGAGGGAAGCTGTCAATAGAAGACTTGGTTTGTGGCTAGACTATTCAATATAGATGTTATATTATATTATATATTTACATAGTAGACATATATATATATATGTATAATATATATATATATATCTTTGCTATTATATGTGTTGTATTATATCCCATAGGATCCATGTATGCTATATATGGTAACATGGATCCATCAATATATATATATATATATATAAATACGTATATCAATATACCCCAGTCATGTTAGCATATATACCAGCACCATGGATCCTATGGGTATATATATATATTATGGATGTAGATTGTAAAACACTTAAACACATCTGATGTTGCACACCCGATCTACGACATCGACCTTGTACAGGTAACGCAGACCAACGCGCCAGCCAACAATCCTGTGCAAACTGCGCCGGGCAATTGGAAATTCACCCTCCGGTGTTATCAAACATGGGAACTTCATGGGATTTATATATATATATATGGATTTATAGTCGACTTATGATATCTAAGTTGATGAACAGAACTCCAATAAATATGCTTTACATGTTTACGATACTTACAACTCATATTATCAATGGGGTGAAACATGGTGAAACTAAACTTACAAACATGAGGTTTGGGCACTCCACCCTGTGCTGGATCATATAGCCAGTGAGAAATTCCACCCTCCGGTCTTATTCAAACATGGTCCAACCTGGCGAGTTTTCTGTGCAAAAATACCGTGAGCTTTCGTGGGTGTTTTGGGACGTCTTAGGCATATGAGTATGGCTCAAAAACCTATATAAAATTACAATAATATGACTGGGGGCATTCACCAACTATTCTGGTCAGTGGTTTCAACCCCTCTGAAAATATGAGTTCGTCAGTTGGGATGATGAACTTCCCAAGATATGGAAAGTCATAAAATTCATGTTCCAAACTACCAACCAGTATTTCTGAGTGCCCAACCACCACCACGATACTTGCTTGTGAAGCAAAGAACAAGAACAAGGACATCGCAAAGACGACCTCGGCGGCGCACACGGGGGAGCTGCTGCCGGGTCGGGTCGGGGTCGTCACCTTTTTGGCTTGTGGATGTTGAGCGCAGTTTAGACATGGTCAAATTACCATGGACAATGAATGGTATTTATAGTCATGAAAATTCCAGTTCAAATGCTGAAAACATATTCATCATATTCGTATATTAAGATGGATTAAGATGGCATATGGCTATGAGTAGCTGGTTATCTATCCATTCACCAACTATTTTAGGGGACCCACGCAGGACGTCATTTCCGATTCCTCCCTGGATGGCTGAGTCGAATCGACGAACAAGCCTCAGTTGACACATAGAAAATTAGGGCTACTGTAACATGAGCATATTAATTAACACCCAAAAAAAGATAGAAAAGTACATTCCTATCATTCCTACTACAATATATGACATATAGATTTATTATAAATCACTTGTTCTTCTTTTTGTTCTTCTGTTTTTTTTGCTTACTATAAATCCAAATCTCCTGGGCTGGCCGCAAAGTGCTGAGCTGACCAAACGCCACCAAAACCAAAGCGAAGAGCATAGCCACGACAGAGCTTTGCACCTCACGATGAGATGCACGACGTAAGGCTAGCTATCTAAAATGATGATAAATAATGTATCTGTGCGTTAAATGATAAATATATGAAATGTGGGTTATATATCTGGGTAAATGAAATCATATTTCACTAACCTGAACAGTTCGGCTATTTGGGGATAATTTCCCTTATTAACCATGATTCCAGTGAGGGAGAACAGTGAGGTCGTTATAATTTACCCAGAATAATGTATCTGTGCCCCATATCAATATATATATATATATATACATACACATGTAACTGTATCTATGATTTAATATTATAATAATGATATGGGTCTGAAGAAAATCCAAGAGGCCACAATCATCTTTAAATATTGTTAAATAATATACCGCAACCGCAGCTCCAATATCATCTGTGACCACCATTCATTCCTATCTTGTCAGTTTAGAGTTGTTCACTTAGTTGATTCTGATCATAGTGCACATGCACTGTTTGCTAAACACGCAAAGCTGAGGGGCCTGATAAGACTACATAGACTACCTGGATCTGGTATGATCTGGTAGGAAGTTCATGGCTTTCATCCTCAATGTCATCTCCTCAGTGCGAAGTTTTTTTGCACAAAATATTTACGGTAACACATGGTAACACCACCAAGCAATGGTAGTATCATGTAACAGATGTCAACAAATGTCAAAAATGGTCATGAAACATCAAGTCTATGAGCAACAAACCTATCAAACCTACATATTTGCCCCGTTCGAACCCAGTGTTCTTCATAATACCTTCACAGATCTCACTAAGTGCTGCTTACCCGCTTACCCGGGCCGTGTAAGTTTCTCTGAGGACTAGAGTGTGATAATGTTAAACTGGCCAATGTTGCACGGATATCCAAAGTAATCCATACGCAATTTGAGCGGGTTGGGGCTTTATGAGCCTTCAAAACACTCGAAAATCTGCTTGGTTCTCTACATGTATCTGCCACATCAAGACATATGAGGACCCTAAGTCTTTGAAGTTCAACTACTGGACCCCATAAAAAGCCAAGATCTTAACATTGTGAAAGCAGCATTTCTGTCTGGTTGCTTGGCTTTCATGTTGATTTCCGAACCAGACATTTCCAAAGCCGCCATCAATCCGATGTCATCACTAAGAAGCCGTACGACTCAGCGCTCCCGGCTGCGATCCTTCATCTTGATCTGGGGAAATGACGTTAGGAAAAGCCATGCGAATGGCTGCCGTTAGGACCGTTAGGAAAATGATAGAAACATTCACGGTGGGGAAAATCATGTAAAATCCACATGTTACTCCGGAGGGTACTTTGAATTTCTTGAATTTCTCTAAAAGATTTGGAAAGCACAGCCATTCTTTCGGTGATTTGGGATTCCAGGATGCTGGGCCCTTCCCCAGTCTCCTGCGGCATTAGCATTTGCCTGGGTCGTGACGGGTGCTTGGGTCATCACAACGCAGCGAAATGACTGGGACACCCCTGGGCAATGGCCATGTGGCATCTACGGACCAGAATCGCCTGAGAGTGAACAATCACAGCCAATCAACAGCGATCTTGGATAATCTTGAAAAGTAATAAGGGGCCCATCTTGCAATACCTGGCATCAAATGGCATCAGCATCAATGGTGATGATGAGACTTACCTTCCTTGAGATACGCACAGAGTTCGACACATGTGCGATTGAAGGCAAAGGGCCCGAACTTGCTGATCCTGTTAGTCCTCATGTTCATCACAAATGTTCCAAGATTAGCCATGTTCATTCTGTTGATGGGGGTTATATAATGTTATATCCAGAACGGGCAATATTGGTACGGTCGATGAAGGAAAGGCATGGAAAAGGGAAGTGATGTCACCCTTCTCACCATCTGCAAGTGCGCCGTTTTGTTTTGCGGTCGCTGTACAAATACTGATGCAGCACTTGAGGCATCACTGCAATGTTTCCAGTGCTTGCTTCATCTCCCGTTGCTTCAGTCTGCATATCTCTGAATGCTGTATACGGCTGTATACTGTAATAAAACACAGCATCAATGGCCATTTCAGCAATCTAAATTGGAGGTACCTACCGTATATAAGGCCTAAATTCCCATTGACAATATTCTTATGCACTCAATTGATCTTGGAGTTCTCTCATCTTTCAGCAAATGACTGGGACATAAAGAATCCCGCACCAGAAAAAACATAGGTCATCATGGATAATCGACCCGCAGGACCTGTACAGCGCAAATCGCGCGTGATCATCACCGCCTTGGCCGTTTCACAAAGACCACACGCCAGGACGTAGAAGAACCTCAGGTTCGTTCGGGGCGCAGGGAACGAGTCATTTCCTGAAGGTTGTCACGTACACCCTCTATATATGGCGTAATTTAACATAGGAAAATCAGCATGCTTCATAGGTAAATCATCAAACTAAATAACGGTCCAATTTACCAACTATTTCTTCTACTCGGTATTGATGTACATATTCATGTATATATTGATGTATATGGTATATCTAGGTATCAAGTTGTTTTGCATGTTTGATGATGTGCCATACACATGTCATAGTTTCTTTTTCGATAGGAACATCAGCAAGAAACGCCATCTCCGGATCCAAAAAAGGTAGGACCTTTTTTGGCCAATCCACCAACTGTGTCCATCTTGTCGGCTGAGTTCTGCGAAGACCAAATCACAGGATATCAAAGAGGGCTGGACAAATAATATCATAAATGATCAAAATTCACTAATGGCTATGGTTCAAAATTGGGTACCCCCATTTTTGGATGGTTAATACTAAATAGACTCTTAAATTTATGTTTTTTCTCAGCTCCAAAAAAAGTGACCCATACCCTGATCTGAGATAAGGTGACACTTTTTATCTAGGATCTGGGGTAGTTACCCCAGTGGCCCAGGTCCAATTCCCATCATTCCAGTGTCAGAAAGAGGTCACCACCCGACCCGACCCTACGGTGAGGTCATCCGTATGTTCCGTCGCCACTGGAGTCGCAACTTTTTAGCATATCAACGTGTGACATGACATGAATTACATGCTGGTTGGTGGTTGACCTACCCATCTGAAAAATATTAGTCAGTTGGGGAAAAATAAAAAATCTTCCAAACCACCAAAGAGCATGGGTATCTCACTAAAGAAACATCATGTCATCTCAAACACTCAAACACATGAGGCTATTGCGACCCAAAACATTGATTGATTGAATGTTTGCTGAGCTATTCGGCCACATTCTGGAATTGATCATGTAAAATGTTCAAAATGTCCTAAGAAACATTCACCCATACCGAACCCATACGCTTCAAATTCTATCGTCACCATGCATTGCCAAAGCTAAAGTGGAATATTCCCCAGCGGTAAACTACTTACAGAACGTTCCCCTACATCTATATATTTTTACAGATGGAATCAACTTCAAAACGAACCAACCTTCAGTCAACCAGAGTCAACCAACATCTTAAATAAGTCTTCGTACATTACCATGGCTAAACACCAGAATAATATAGTAATTTGTTGAAGGGCCCCCTTCCCCCGCAAATATTTTGCTCCAAGGCACTTCGCAGTGAGTCGTTGAAGAGTGGCAGCCCTTTTCCACCTTTATCTCCCAGGCCGTGCGATCGGGCACCATCTTCGATCTTCCACTGCCTACAAGACGCGACGCAACGCAACGTTGCCACGATAGGTGATCAAGAAGAAAGTGCCGGTGACAACGGCCATGAGAAATCCCCTCTGGTGTCATATATAGTTCATTGAGGAAAAAGACACACTATACAACTATGGACCAAAATTGGCCGAATATGTTTCTTCATGGGTCAATTGAGGGTACAAAGGGATCTTCGTTGACACATTGCCACAACACCACCAAAACGAGCGAGGGTAATTTCAGTAATCTATTAAAAAAAATCACTTATCCGGAAAAGCAACCTGCCTTAAGTGCCAAGTGCCTGAAAAACAATAACTCTTTCGCGCTTAAGATCTCAATCTCCTGCATGTCATGTCCAATTCAGATCTCACATCTTTGGGTTTTAAATCCATCGTTTCATGGTGGTTTCTACCTACTGTTTTCGATGTCCACCGGGCCCCCAACCACCAACCACCAACCGACATAGCAATGACTGCTCCGAGAAACATGGCGAAGAGTTCTTCAACGAGTGTCTTGGGACACTGGAACTCGACCTAATAACTCATCTGATTCGCCATGCCATGACGCATAGAGATCTTGAGGGTGTTGGGGGTATTGTGGGGTTTTTAGGTGTATACCCTCTGGTGAACTAACATAGCAATGGAAAATCACCAATTTTAATGGATTTTCCCATGAAAAATGGTGATTTTCCATTGCTATGTTAGTTCACCAGAGGGTAATCATGGGGATTCGAGTTTTTGTTGGGGCTGAAACAAAGTGATGGCTCTGGCTCTGGCTCTACCAAGGCACAATGGTGGTCACTGGAGGTGTCACCTTCTTCTTGCCGGTGAAATACTTCTTACCTCATGAGCTGCCCAGGAGCTGGCTGAATTTCAGGTTTTGTTTCTTCACCAGATGAGGCCGATAAGGCCATTTCAAATGTGAATGTTTTTTGGGATTGTTCATGGTTAATCTCATAGATATTTATATGATATGTTTTTTTTTGTAGATTTGATACGATACCAATTGGGGTGGTTTAGATGGGTCATAGTTATAGACTTATAGACTATAGACCCAGCCAAGATCACCATGCAACTGACTGACCCTTGCCTATTGTGGATTCGATTATCTAAGTATAATCCATCTGGCTATTTTTTCTAATCATAATTTACGAGACTGAAATGTTTGGCCATTCGGGGATGATTTCCTAAACAAATATTCATTCATATTCATTCCTGTGACGTTGCAGTGAAGACGTTATAACTTACCCAGAATTGGGTAAAGTTGCTCGGATAGGCTGTGTCAGTGTTCTCTTCTCTTAATGTGGAATAAGGACGGACAATCACACTCTCACACTCATGTGGTAAAGCCAATAATGAACCTCCAATTGGAGTTGTTTATTACCTTTTTTTTGTGGAAGTCAGGATGGTTTTTGTATTGGGTTTACCACATTTGTGGGAAAAACAGAAACACAATTCCAGAATGCCTTGAGGGGCTTTGGAATGTGTTCAACAGAATCTCCATACTCTTGACAGCAGCGCAATGCTTTTGCCATCTTTTCTCTTGGTTTTCAGACAAAGTGCAGTATTCGTAGCCTTCTTCACCAACAACTATGGTCTGATATGGTTGCGTGTCTGGCAGAATGGAATGCTCCAGTAGATACGCGGCTTCCTTGTCAGACATGTGGCGATAAACGGACACCATTTCCTTGGCCCGGCTGCCACACAGCATTGAGAAACACAAGTTACCGTTGGGCCTGCAGGTATAGAGGGACGCAGAAAAAAAACCTGCAAATCTATCGATAGAAGCACACTCACAAAAAAAATGAGAGTGAATCAACAGCGACTGTTGTAGGTCATGTTCTATTCCTACTTGCAAGATCTTGCAAGAAAGATCAATCTTACCATTGGGCAAATGCCGAGAAAAAAACAATCGTACCTCGATGCTTCTTCCCCCACGGTTTCCCTAGTGAACCTTTGCCTGGCAAGCCATTGGTGTGGGGCCAAAATCGAAATTTGAGAGGCCAAAATCTCTGGAAATTTAGCATGTGGAAAATCACTATGTTCAATAGGTAAATCATTGTAAATCATCCAAATCGATGGGCCATCTATATTGTAGCTATGTTGAATTATCAGAATGCATTTAACTACCACGTGCTTGGGAAACTCATGGCTCACTTGGCTCCCCATTTTTTTGGAGCGGGAATATGGATACCCATCGCTCCTAAATGCTCCATCCTAAGTACCAGATAACTAAAATTACTCTGGTATGTCTTATTAATCCCTATGGATCCAAGTACCTTCCTAGGAAGTTTTTGGGGTATGATTTAGGGGGTTAAGTACCTTCTGAGACAGTGTTTGGATCCATAGGGAATAGTATCTCAGTTTTTCTTGGTCAAAATCACTTTGTTCATCACCAAACGTCCAACAAAAAATCCAGATCAAATCCCAAACAAAAATGCCATTTCTAATCCAGATCAACTCACTAAACAAATTTTGATCCACTTGAATCCTACTAATCACCCTTTAAGGAAGGACATGTCACCATATTTTTCACCAAGTCGCTTCCGTTTCATGGCCTTCATCCGCTTCTGCCGGAGATCGGCCTTGACCTTCAGCCGGATCCTGGAGAAGATTCGAAATGTGGGTAACGGGTAATGTGGTTGTGGCTGAAGTGGGTCCAAGATAATGAGATTATCAATAGTAGTAGATGGTAACTTTATATATACCATTAATGGCAGATCATGTGGTTATTAGATGATTATGGCTCTCTGCCATATGGATCCAAGTGCCTTCTTAGAAAGTGTTTGGGGTATGATGACTAGGGGGTTAAGTACCTTCTGAGATAGTGCTTGGATCGATAGGGATGAGATGATTAATGGTAATGGATGGTAACTTTATACCATTAGTGGTAATTAGATAATGTGGTTGTTAGATGATTCATACCCCAACAAAAAATGGTCAAGATAATACTCAAGTTGACAAACACCAAATCTGTGGCCCCCTAGTTCTGGACAATTTTTGACTCCTACCGGACTCATACCCATGGATGTGCTGATATGGGTTTGTCTAAGAATTCTGGGAAACATCCCCCCAAAAAAATCTATGGTGTATCATCATGTTCCATAATTTTCCCCTTTCTATGGTTTATCATCAAAACAAAACTCCATAGTTATCGGAGAAACCATAGTGAAATTGGAGTTATGTGAACCCCAACTTAGCTATCGTAAACGCGGGCTTCACGACTTGTATGGTTTATCATCATGTCCCAGAAAGCCCATGGTTTATCATCAGAATTCAGGGAAACGTTTTGGAACGAATCCCCCAGTGACACAGCCACATTGATCTCAGCTCGCTATCATGTAGCCCAAGTTACCGGGGATCAGCCAAGTAATGGTAGTGATCATGTTACTACATGAATGATCATGAAGTGGATCTTATCAATAGTAATGGTATATAGCATATTATATATATATATTAAAATGGGACCATGAAGAATCTATGAACCAACAACCAAAAAACAATCCTACATGAAAGTTTCCTAAGTCATGGGTGTACCCCCAGTTCTCATCCACTGATTGGGAGCTTCCCTGAAATCAAGCCTTCCGGCATTGCAAACTTGGATCGCTGGAGAATCTTCCGCTACACCACGAAATACCATCTGTGTGGTAATACACACAATTGTTCATATATATATAATAATAATAATAACAATATTTATTATTACTACTATTATTATTATATAAAATATATAATATTATTATGATTGTTATTATTATTATTATATTGTTATATTATATATATATATATGTATGTATATATAAGTTATGTATATATATATATATTAGATAATCAACGTATAACTTATATATTAATCTATATTGTACTTCTACATAAATCTATATCATTTAATTACATCTGTATAAGGATACGAACATCAACATCCTCAGCTGCACCAAAATCCCAACTGCACCTGCACGCCCAGCTGGGGAGCTTCCAACAAGATGGAACTGGCACCTTTATGCGAAACCTCGGCGTTTCGAAGCACCGAAGGTGAAGGAATGGGTCGATAAGTTGCCAGTAAATATATTACCCTCTGGTTATTTAACATAGCCATGGAAAATCCCCAAAATAAATGGAGGTTTATAGCTGGGAAAATCATCTATAAATGGGCCATTTTCCATGGCTATGTTAAATAACCAGAGGGTATATGCAGCAAACATGCTCAGTTTTGGGATTTCATTGGGATGAGAAGGACCCACTGCGAGCCTTAGGATTCATTAGGATTCTCTGAGTGCACATCATGGAAGCAAATTGTCATCTACCATCCATGTGTAGATCGTGTTCCTAGGGAAACCCCCGGATTTCCAAATGATGCTTTACCCAAAGGTACCTTCCAATATTCTCAATGAAAAATCCGCCATTCTTCCTATTTTCCCCCATTTTTGGATGGTGAACACGTTCAGCTCCGCAGTTTTTCAGCCAAGTACCTCCACCAGCTCTTGGCTTTCCAGCAGTTTCTTCTCGTGTGGCATGAGCCCCGCTTTGGCCATGGCCATGCGCGGTGCGGAGTTTGGGCCGTTGTGGGGCAGGGATCGAGCTGGTGACAGAGTGGGAGGCTTCAATTTCGTGTCATGTTCAATCGGTAAGTATGTATCTATGCAATATATTATATAATATGCTATGTATATATATATATATATCAAAAGATTAAATTGCTAAAGTGCCAATCCAAGATTGACCCAGATATCGGAACATCATCAGATATCGGAGATGTTATCGGCCTTGAAGGGATTGATTTCATCCAAAAAATCAACCATCTAAGCGACAAGTCCTAGGTATGTGTGCATCAGTTTTAATAAAAAGTGCGGTCCCCCAAATACAGCAAATAGATCTAAATGTCTTGGGATAAAACACATCTCTCCGCTTGGAATATCCGGGATACAACCAGAAACCATCAACAGCATGAAAAACAGCAGAGGAACTCTGGGCCACTGTGGCTTCCAACTTTCTTTGGCCACAGGGATTGCAGTTCCAGAAGCACTTGTCGTGGAAGTGGCAGCTTCGCGCTTTCACCTCAATTCAACGAAGAAACATGGGGACCTGAATGGAACTTAAGCTGAAGGAATCATGGAGTTGGGGACCTATGTGGATACCACCCATCAAAATATCTTGTTGATCATGACCCTGACGCTCGAAGACTATTTTTTTTATTTTGGTCTTTGGAAAAGACTATTTCTGGCTAATTCTGAAGTTTTAAATGGGGCTCCTGGGCAGTTTAACTGCGCTATAGCATGCTATAGCCTTTTGACCTGGGTTGCATTGCAATTTAGTGTTGAAAGCCAACAATGTGCAATTTTCATATGTGCATACTTTTTTAGAACGTTGTCATGGTCAAGCCACCTGCATAGATAAAATCAGTTGCAGTTGTAGGTCTATTGGCGTCAAATTTATCCATTAGATGATGGATAGTGTCAAATCAATTGGTCCAACCATCCCTGCTGCTACGCCACGGCAGGTTGATTTGCACTTGTCATGCCCCCTACCCCATTCCACTTTGTGTTGCTAGACAAAAGGTGATGTACGCCAAATCTATTCAGGTGGAGAAATGCAACCATAGCATGCCATAGCAACATGTTTTACAAATTGCGCGTGGTTCCGCGTGGAACGCCTATTTTCTAGCGTGGAAAGACTATTTTCTAGCGTGGTTCCAGCGTCTTCTCTCCTGGGAAAACACAAAATATTGTATTTCGGCAGAACAATCAAGACTAGATGTCTGGGCACCAACTAGGCCATCTGGGACCCAAACATTCCACTATCTTCTAAGCAGCTTGAAGTTACAGGATTCTCTAGAAAGAAGACACAGGACACACAACAAGAGAATCGTGGCGACTCACGTGGCTTTCATGCCCTGAATCGCTACTGACACAAGAACCACTGCCTGAAAAAGGCTGAAAAGTCCTTCAAAATGAGTTTCAGCGCACGTCGCAGCACGGGTGTCAGAATATCTGTAAAAAAGTGCCGCAACTCATAATTCTGTGGCGCTGGGGAATGCCGGATGACACATGTGACACGCGTGACACGCGCGACGTGATGCGCGTGATGCGCGTGACAAGTGCCTTCTTTGGACTTCCTGGGATGACCTAAAGCCTTGATATATCTCATTATATATATATATCCCTATGGATTATATAGTTGCAGGGATTATATATATATATATACATCCCTATGGATCCAGCTGTACCTTCCGAAAGGAAGTGTCAATGGGGTATGATGACGTGACTCGGGGGTGAACAGCCGTACCTTCGACAGTGGCCATGGATCCATAGGCTATAGGGATTGATATATCTCATTACAGATTTTTGGTCTCAACGGATCCCAGCGATCCCAGATCAGAGAGGACAAACGTGAGCGAGTAACAACACGATCTATCTTGTGTCTTCTGTATGCATTGATGAGTTCGCATATCATGCATATACGTATCCCTATGGATCCAAGTATGTTCTTAGGAAGTACTTGGGGTATGATTTAGGGGGTTAAGTAGCTTCTCAGACAGTGTTTGGATCCACAGGGTATATACGTGTTTAGACCCCATCTTAATATATATCTTAATCTCTGGAATCAAGTCTGCACTTCTTCTCTGCCTTCCAAAGATGATTAGTTAAGAAAACCCAGCATTGGAGGAAGGGAACATTTATAGGAAACCCATGGAAACCCTTTATTTCATGGTTAAAACACCAAAGTTGCCGATGGTTCTTCAACACGCTGATGATTGAGCATCAAGCCTGGAAGCGGATCCCGTCCCGATGTGTCCCTAAGACCCCGGCCGGAATCGACAGGAGGTGAATCCTCATCGTTCCTACGGCAAGGGCTTTGCTTCTTCGCCTGTAAATTTGAAAGACCATCAGTTACAATGTGGAGCCCCAGTGATGCTTGTTGGTTTATAAACCCCATGAATACTATACAGTAATTATCATAAGCCATACGTATTGGAGTTATGTTCACCAACTGAGCCATCGTAAACGGGGGGCCCACTCCCGTACCATGCCGTTGGCGAATCTCCTTGCCAATTCCAAAGGTTTCGCAAGGAAGGACACATCCTCTGCATCAGCATCTGCATCCACAAAGTTCCCATTCAAACCTCATGGAGCTAGCCATACCAGGTTTGGAAGCACAAAAACCACTGAGTCACTATGGCCCAAAATACCAGTTATGGATGTCAGTATGGAATGATCACCCAATAAAAACCACCATTTATAACTGGCAAAAATCTGGCAAAGGGATTTAGGAGTAAAATATGTTTCCAGATTTCTTCTGGATCGACATGACTGCTGATGAAACATGATAATCATGAAATCACATATATCATACCCTATGGATCCATGGCCACTGTCTCAGAAGGTACGGCTAACCCCCTAGTCATCATACCCCAAACACTTCCTAGGAAGGTACTTGGATCCATAGGGATATCCTAGGAAGGTACTATATATATATATTATAAATATATATATATATATAATCCCTGCAACTATAATGAAGTGGTAGCGAGGCCTCAACTATCATAGCCTCCGCCATTGGGGCCACCACGGAGACTAGAGGGAGGTCCGAAGACAGACAAGCCATCCTGGACGTGAACGTTGGCTAAGTTGCTGTGCTGAAGAAAGAAATTAAATACAGAGTTCTGGTCTGCATTGCTATAGTTAGTAAGACTACTAACGTTATATATATATATGTATATATATCCACATGGACATGGTTTGTTTTTTTTGCAGGTGACACTCGTGACAAAACACCTGGCATGAAATTAGTACGCAATCTCATGGATCCGATGTACTGTCTGAGATCCTCTCAGTGGTGTCGATACATAAGCCACTGACAATGACAATAGTACCTAGGTGACCTAGGTGTAAATGTATAATTATATTCCACGTGGATACGGATATATAACGATATAAGGATATAATAGTTCCGAAATTGGTGTTCACTATGCTGGTTCTTCTCATACCCAACGCTTAACCACCAAGTTGCACCGGTTGCATTTGCGCGCGACGACTGGGCGACTTTGTGCATTCGCTCAGCGGGAGATTCGCTACCGGAGAATCCCTGGAATCACCCGTGGTGGTGAAGCGACTGGTGGTGCGCCTCGTTGGAATCACATTTGGGTCGTGATTGGAACCACCCTCTGACCATATTTACACCCTATGGATCCAGCCGTACCTTCCTAGGAAGTGTGACTGGGGTATGATGACTAGGGGGTTAAGTACCTTCTGAGACAGTGTTTGGATCCATAGGGACAGTATATGAATATATTAATATATTCTATATATAGTGATATTAGATAGATGTTCAAATATATATATATATAGTTTATATTATATAACCCTATGGACCTATGGATCCATGGCCAGTACGGCTCACCCCCTAGTCATCATACCCCAGTCGTACTTCCAAAGAAGGTAGGCCTGGATCCGTAGGGAACAGTAAACATCCTCTGCAGTAAAAGCCCTTAACCAGTTATAACTGGTTATAAATTGGTCAAAAGGGGTTATAAATGACTTACAAATGGCAAAGGACCATAACTGTGTCATCAGTTTGTTGCAGAATTTTTAACTTGGCACTACTTCATCCTCTATCGCCAAGTCCTGAAAACTACCGGTATGGCCTTTTACAGTTATGAGTCATAGCATGTCATAGCCACATTTATAACATGTTATAACAACTTAAAACGGGTAAAGGGCTTTAACTGTAGTGAGAGAGGTGGTTCCTAACTGACAAATGGCCATGTCCTCTGGTGAATGCATTACCACCATGGTTTTACCCTTAACCAGCAGTCTTGACTGCTGCTATACAAGGGTGGCCATCAGACTCAGACCGCCAGCTGATTCCAAGGATTGCGACGTCTATGTAGCGCTTCGTGCAGGTGCATCTGAATTGTTGAGAATTTACTGGTCCAAGCCATGATGATTGCTTTGAACTATAATACTAGTTGCTGGTTCACCCGAAACATCCCAAAACAGTGAAGAAATGAGAGCAATCAGCCCATAAAGTTTGAAGAGTAAGAACCAGTCAGGATCTATGTGGCATTCGCAAAGAAGGCATATTGAGCGACCGTTGCTGTTCAAAGACACTATAGTTGTATAAATGCATGGTTTTGGGATCACAGATCCAACTTTTCTGCAGCTTGGACCAAGAAAAAAAACAGCTAAACTCGGCCAAGCAGAGCAATCCTTCCGAGCAAACAGCACGACTGAGGCACGGCTGGCAGATTTTGGCATCGAAGAGTTCAGGTGTACATCACCGGGGTCGCGGCTCCTGCACAGTGGAACTAGTGGAACTAGTGGAACTGTGGGACCTTCCAGCAGTACCATGGCAGGAAACCGCTAGCGCAAGGGAAACTACAAGGATTTGGAGTTGCAGTTTACCAAGGAAATAAAGGGGTATGCACTATGCATGAGTGAATATCATGATTGAGAATATATGAGAAATTATGAGAACATGATAAAAACACATTGAAGACAAGTTGCATGCAGCTCAGAACCAAGAGGAAACATGACATTGGGAGGTGCGTAGGATCATGTGGGGCCCATTACCAGTATACTAGAGTGGTTCTGAACTAGTTGTGTTTTCTTTCAAGGGAATCATGTCTACGCCTACGCAAAATTCGTGTCGTCAAAAGTGTGAGTTTGTGGCAAAAGGACATCCACATTCTGAACTGATGGGGACACCTTGAAAGTGTGCGCTAAAAGGCTTTGATCCTTCTTGGACCCCCTGAAGCTAGTGACCCTAGAAGTACGCCTGAAGTGCTTCAAAACGAACGGTGCGAAAGCCACCAACAATCATTGTTATTGAAACAGTTCTCTTGACAATATCTTGACAATATTCCCTTAGCTGAAAGTTCCTCCTAGCTAACCCCTTCGCCATGATACTTAAATAACACAAAATAAAGAAGAAGAAGAACAACAACAACAACAGCAACTCCAAGAAGAACCAAGAGAAGTGGCTGGCCAGGCTTGAAATACCTTCAGAAAGTTCTGACCCATCAATTAACTGGAACGTTTGGAAAACTTGCTTTGCCTGAGAAACATTTTAAACAAATATTATTTTTCCCATTGTAGGTCAAAAATTGTATGTATTTTGGGTGGGGGTCAGTCTTATATTCCATATCTTTATATATATATATACATATATATATATATATATATGTATATATAATATATATATATATTAATATATATATATATATATGTATTCTATACTATATATAAATATATATATATATGTATATTTGTTTATACAATGATTGTCCCCATGATACATCCATTCCACGCCGCATCTTTCGCCTCCGAAGGGTCCCAGGTGTCGCGGCGTCAGCTGCGGCGCGATCAAACCACTGGGAGGCGTCAGGCCGGCCGCAGAGGGCGGGCCGAGGCGGGGCATGGGCCTGGAGATTGCTGGGGATCCAAGGAATCTTTGGTTGGGGATTTTATGGTGATTTAATAGGAGTTAATAAGATGTTAATGGGGTTTAATGATGATTCAATGGGATTTAGTTAGAAAAGTTCACGCACATTTGCCTTGGTTAATGCTTACGAGGATAGAACTGAACTATATAATTTATTGGGTTTGTAAACCCAGGTATAACATGTTATAACTAATGTAAACTAAAAACAAAGGACTAATTCAAAAAAGACTCTAAGTCCAAGGTTAATCAAATTTCCTGGGATTTAGCAAAGTTGTGGGACTTATGGGGCATTATCTAAACGTGTTCTTTAAAGCAAAGAGGTTGGTGGATAAAGGAAGATGATTCGGATATGAAATTTGAGAACCAAACAATCAGCATCTAAGCGACCTCACATTTTTCATCCCCTAGAACTGCAATATCTCGGATTATAAAGGGGATGGAAATTCATTGGCAAATATTTGCAATATGGGCAGGTTACTGAAAGGAATCTCTGGATGACATTTGGAATACGGAACTGAAAATTGGGATTCCAAATACTCAGTATTTAATATCTAGGTGATTCCGCCCCTTGCAACAGGAACATCCTATACATGTACAATTCATATAGTATCATATAATAATATACATACCATTCAAATATATTCCATACAGTTGATACAATCCCAGTAATTCTCACCACTATGGTTGACTCGGTAGCACAGACTGTTTGAGGCTTCAATCCTTAACAAAGTGGCTCCGGAAAAAACCATGGTATACCCATGTATCCGCAGCCATGGCGCCAGTTGGAAACTGGCTCTTGGTAAGGAAGCAGAGAGGCCGGGGCAAAGACGCCCGGACTGGGATCCCACAGATTCCTCGGTTTTGTCGTTGCTTGGAGGAGAATCCCAGCGGTAATCCTGGTGGTTTTAAGTGACAGTGGCGACGGCGACGTAACGCCTAAATTTTTTTAACCCTGGTTTTTGATACCCATTTTCCGGATCCGCGAACGGTGCTGGTCGAAAAATGCTAAGGATTTCAAGGGATGATCCTGAAGATCTCTGGTGAGTTCGTAGAGTCGTAGAGTGTTGGAGCTATGTGGGAGACTGTGTTGGAATCGATATAACTAATTGTACAAGGTGGTGCGCCCCCGTTCGTGAACGCTAAGTTGGGGTGAACTAATAACTCCAATTAAACTATGGCAACTATATGGTTTATAGATAATGTGTATATATATATAGTTAATGAGTTTGTAAGCCATTTACAACTGGAGGGGGCACCACCTTGTACATAACAGTGGATCAACATGTTGTATCACACAATGATTAATAAGAATAAATGATTAAATACTTTGGAAGCTGGAGGGTACTATGCCAAGCAACTGACATAGACCTTGAGAATAGCCAGCCCATCCCAACTTCGGAAAGTAGTCTTCTGACCCCCGAATGGCAAGGCCGATCTAAGTTGAGTTTGTCTGAGCATAAGAATAAGGTACAAAAAACATATGGGTTTATCATGAGTTTACCCTTTAACGTTGCCATCCTGAAGTATGTAGAGTACATGTTGTTCCAAACTATTCACATGTTAGTGCAACTTTTTGGACATGTTCATATTCTATCTACTCCAGGATGACTGTATATATGTATACATGTGGATTTGCTTAAGGACCACCCCCTCCAAAAGAAACATTCCCTATAGTGCCCTATAAATTCCCAAGTGATTAAATTGGAAATCACCTTCAGCAAACCAAGGTATATACAGTATATATGTATATAATTGTATATATATATATATAATATATACATGATACACAGATGGGTGTGTTGAAAATTGGGTACCCAATTTCCAATAATGGAATGGTGAATCCTAAAAATAGACCTTCCAATTTTTGATTTTGCGAGGTCTTAGTTTTATTTTGACCCCTTCCCAGCCATCCCAGTTGGGAAGGCCGCTCTGCATCACCAAGCCTCCAAGGAGCTTCCATCCCATGGCCCAGTTGCAGTCCCGCCACAGGCGCTGTCCCATTCCGTTCAGGGCTCCGACCAGGGCTGGTGGCCTCCTAGGGATGGAGATCTGGGGCGGGAACACTGAAGCCGGACTGGTGGATTGCTCCCGGAAATGGTGGAAGTTGAGGGACCAAAAATCACATGAAAAAACATGGAAACATCACGCAACCCTTGGAGAAATCACGAAGAACCAGATCTTTGTGACGCTCAAAATCCCCCCAAAATTGGAGATTGACCAACCCCTGCAATTGACCTCCGATAATCAAACTTTGAAATTGCAATGGAAAGGTATCATCTGATAGTCAAATAAATGGGGAGATACTCCAGAAACTGATATCAATGATGATTGAATGTTGGACCCATGCGCAACTTGGTTTGTCCAAAGATAGTAGGTGAATCATCATGTTTCCCTTTATTTAAATAATGATAATGGCCATAACTTGCGGCCTGAAGCCCTCATTATTCCTATCCAATATGGCTATGTGTCAAAAGCCTGGCACCTTAGGCACCCCAAAATAGCGCGCTTTAATTATTGATGTTCATTCCCCCAAATCATGTAGTATACCGATTAGTGTCGACTCTATCGTGAGAAAATGTTCAAAAATAATGCTATTCGACATTATGGTAATTTCATGTAATTTCATACAATGTGAGGCCCCCCAGTTATAAGTTGGTTTATAAGCCCCAGTAACTATATATAGTACCATAAACCATAGTTATTGGAGTTATAAACCAACTTAGCTATCTTGGGGGCCTCACATTGTAGGTTTTGACTCATCCCCACCTCAAGGTGATAGTTCAGTCATCTTCAATCCCCCTAATCTGCAAGGACAATCAGCAAGGTCTTGGCCCAAGTCACCGTACTGCACTGCGACGTCAGCCGTGCACTTCGCTTCGGGGACCGCGGCCGAGACCGCGAGGTCCGGCCGTCGGAACGGCCGCTGTGCAGCGGGAGCTGCAGCTTCGGTACGGGATTTTCGTAGCTGAAGCCTCCTACAATGTGGCCCCCCCAGTGATGCTAGTTGGTTTAGATTCGCCCCAGTAAATATAGTTATAAGTATCATAAACCATAGTTTAATTGGAGTTATGTTCACCAACTTAACTATTTAGGGGGCCTCACATTGTGGGAATGTTTCACCAACAAAACTTAAATAATAAGGTGCAAAACAATATAAGGTACTACAGTAACCCTAAATAACAGGGATAAGTTGGGAGATGATCGCCGAGGTATTTTGACAGGGAGGCCTTTTATTTCACACTAGGTGAAATCTGGAAGACTGTCGTGATGGAACTGGAAGCAGGCTGGAAGGGCGGCTTACCCCACCTGTTGTTTCACCAGAAATGTGTTTTTTTTTACCAACCAGATTGTTCAAACATCACACAATGTTTGGCTGGTGCATGTTGGTGATATCGCCAGTCCAAGAATCTCTCTTCATTTTTCACCACCGTTGAGTACTCATCACGCCAGCAAGGAGCACCACACCTAGGAGCCAGCGATTCAGCTCACACCACAGCCGATAATCATGCGGGGGGTGACCTCCAAAACAATAACGTCAAATTCTTGCTTGGTGTTATATAACCCAGTCAAAATGACAAACCATGGCAAACCCAGGAATAGACTTGAAACCCACTTGGGTATCGTTCATACGGTCTCACACATGGAGGGAACTTTGATATGCTTTATTCCACTATCTGGATTCATCCAAGTGTGCGCGCTTGTAAAACTAATCCGTAAAGCTGCTAATGCGAAAAAATGGTTCAATCCGAATAATCCGTAAACCGTTCTAATCCGTAATCAGTTCACAACCCCTGAAACCTTCACCTGGTCCTTTGCGCTTCTTTTTTGCGTGGCACACGGGTTCCAATAACCCCCGAAGATATACATGTGTGGAATTTCCAGTTTTTGGGGGTTTGGTTTGGCGAGCTATGAGATAGGCTGTAGGGTTTTGTTTTTTTTGCTTTACTTAAGGCCAGACGTGGCATCACGGTCAGCAAAAGGAAGTTCATCATCTGAGAGGAAGCAGCTGTTCGTCTGAAGCACGTGCAGGTGCCTCCTGCCCAGCCCTTCTAATTTCCACTTGGGACCTTGTAACCTACGTGTAATAAAATGATGCAAAATGCTCAGAAATCAGGCGCGCGCTGGCTGCCACAGCCCCCGAATAGCCAAATGTCGGGAATTTGCAATTTTTGGGGTTGTGGCTGGCAGCTGTGGTTAAGGGGGAGGCTGGGTTTGGTTCCTCGTTCACCTGCTTCTAGATGTGATTATTTATTTCATGTCCGTCCAGAACGCAGGTAGAAGGTTCCCACAACCCGCAAAGAGCTAAATCTCGAGAATTTGCAACTTTTGGGGGTTGTAGCTAGCAGCAGGCCGCAAAGGTGGCTACGTTGTTGCAACCCAGACTTGCAAGGCATTGCGCTCAAGAAAGAGAAAGAAAACCAAAACACGGAGGAACCAAAATGAGCTCTGATAGATCGCAAAAACGAATCCAAACACCACACTAACAAACGAAACCCAAGGAAAACTTCCTCAAATCAGCATGCCGGTCATCATCCTTTACGGGGGTTGTGGCTCTCAATCCGTAATCCGTCCAAACCACATAATCCGAAAATTCGGTAATCCGTAATCTGGCTAAGGATTAAGGTTACGTTTGTTGAGGCCAGACTATATAGGTGTATCCCATTATGTGTCAGCTGTTTAGACTGCAAGTAGATTCAAATGATAATAACATGATATGCTTAGTTGATGATTTAGGATTGGCCACCATGTTTATTTGTTATATCTGAATGAATCTCAACGTACATAAAGCATATGAAATTGGGATATCTCTAGAGTGTGAGGCCCACCAGTGGAAAGATTATGTCTAAATATCGCCACCATAAATCCTGATTATTGATGATTATTGGAGTTATAAACCAACTTACCATTACTAAGGTGCCCCTTATCGTGTATCCATATGACTTATATAACATTATACAACTATTTGCCATCCGCTAACACGTCGTTTCGCCATTTCCCAATGGATCCTCCGAGTATCTTCGCCAACAAAGTGGTGCCCGTGTTTGTTGGCTGAGTTGGTTTATAGCTCGCTTAACTAGGGCTTCTGGATGTGCGTGGTGATGAAATCTATAGTTCGATAGGTAAGATCCAACGAACATCAAATCCTTGGTGCATCATAGTGCATCATCGTTATCCCCAAAGAATTTTTCCCATAAATCCGGATAATCCACTAGCCACGCATATCTTCCCACACATTGAATGCCTCCTTAAAGATACGGGCCATGGAGTTTTTCACCGTACCAGCCCAAGGCATCCCAAGGCGCTCCATGGGTTTCCGCGAGGGCCCCATGCCGCGCAGTTCGCTCAAGATCTGCGGCTCCAAAGATGCGGCCCAGCGAAAATGCCGCGCGGACATGGCGACCAATGGCGTGGGGCCGGCACCTGAAGCCGGTGAAGATGTCCCATGGCAACGTTTAAAAGATGGACTTGAACATATTTCTGTGGTATCTTGGGAAACATGCCTTTTTAACAACTGATTCAAAAAGAACATGGAGACATAACTGGAAAATTACTGTTATAGATCTTGTATGTTGGAAGTTGGAATCATTTAGAATCCAAATGCTTCCACTATCTTCTACTTTACCACCTAAATTGCAGCCAAAACACTCAGAAGGTATTTGGATCAAAAGCGAACTTACACAAGTAGAAAGGCATGGGTATGATATGGGTCAAAATTGGATACCCCAACAATTAGATGGTCAATACTTAAAATAGTCTTAAATCTGTGAACCCCCACTTCCATAATTGTGACATACCCACATAGATATCAGGTTTTGTTCTCTATATTTCGTAAATTACAGCCAAGACAGCCAAGATATCTTTTTGACGTTGACGGGCTAGTTCTTGAAAGTATGTTGAACTCGTCTTGGAAATTAGGGCGCGAATATCGGCAGGAATTGAAAGGACCATATCGGGCGTAAAGGGATCCATCATGAGGATTGCAGACGAAAGGCTGCTGTTTCTTTGTTGAGGGATAGAGAAAAGAGTAGTTCAAGTAAACATCATGCCCTATGGATCCAGCCGTACCTTCTTAGGAAGTACGACTAGAGTATTCCGACTAGGAGGTTAGCCGTACCTTCTCAGTCTGTGTTTGGATCCATATATGGGGTACAATCATCTAAATAGATCTATCTCCATCAATTTCTCACCCTTTTGCCAAGCAGTTACGTGCCAGGTTCCTTTCATGACATTGATGCTGTTTTTTTCCACAAACAAAAAGTATTGGTGAAGTTGGAGAATTGATTTCCAGCAGTAAACTTGGAGCAAAACAGACACTTGGGCAGTGTTCAAAAACCCTCTGTCATTCAGATATATTTGCAATGTAATGTCAGAGGGTTTCATGATTCATAATCCCTATAGTGTATAATGGAATAATGAATATCACTATTGGATTGTTCTGCTTGGTCAATAGGAGTTATGATAACCCCCAGTCTATAAATCAAGGGTTGACATGAAAATCCCCTGCAATAATCACAGCCAATAGGGGTTGAGCAGCCACTGCCCAATTGATAGTGATGAACGTGCCGCTGGCATTGTTGCTAGTGACGAGTGGTTTCAGGTCCCTCTGGGGATGTAAAAAGATACCCAACCATGGCCGCCAGGACAAAAAAAAATTGAACCATACGATAATATGGTAGTACCAGCCATATTATGTGTATATAATTATGTATGTATATATACATATATATATTATGGTTGGCAACATCTTTGCAATTTGCAACTAGGAATAAACACAAGACGCCCTTGACAACACCAAGCAGGTCATTTTAAGTTGAAGGGAACAAAAGCAAGAATTCTTCGCAACACAACTACCAGGGAGGATCACTAGTGAATCGTGAAACTTTGGGATACCGCTGTGGTGCCAAGTGACAGCGACCCATGAGGTTTCGCGGGTAGCTACCTCGGCTCCGAGGTCCTTTGAGGTGGTATCCCTCCGTATCTCCCTATGGATCCAGCCGTACCTTTGGAAGTACGACTGGGGTGTGATGACTAGGGCTTTAGGCTAAGTACCTTCTCAAACAGTGTTTGGATCCATAGGGTCGGTATATATAAATCATAATATATATATATATGTATATATAATATATATATATATATATATATTATATATATACATAATATATATATAATAATATATATATATATTTACATACACACACACACGTTCTGAACACCATGAAGCCTACGCAAGCTGGTCATAAACCAACTTAGCACAACTGAGGGCACCTAGCAGGAGAGTCTGTGCATCTGCGAAAACATCTTGGGATTTCATGACCCTTGCTGCTGAGCTATCTTTTTTTCCTCAGTCATTTGCTAGTTTTGTTAATATACAGTGAGAATAGTATCCGCAGGGTCAGTGACAAAGAGATGGATAGTACGTACGCATCTTCTGTCGGACAATATCTAAACGTGGGAATTGCATATGCTGAAACATGCTGAAACCCGCGTAGTGACTGCGTAGTGGTTTAATCGGCTTTGCCACAACAGGCCACATTCCATGGCCATAGGATTGCTATGTCCATTGCCAGATTTGCGGAGAGTCAAATTAAATTATAGGATATTATCATTACTAATACTTAATAATATTCGTTAATATAATTTATATATATATATCAAAAAAAATGCAATGATTTTATTAATGCACGTATTTCCTGCATGAATCGTCTGACTCTTCGAAGTCTTTGGGATGTGATTTGGTCCTCTTTTGATCCGCTTAGCTAAGTTGGTATATGATTCCAGTATCAATGAGCCTGGTTTATGATACTTGTAACGAACTAGTATTCATGGGGTTTATAAGTGACAAACCAACAAACATAACATTTTTTCAGGTCCGTATGGTCTGTTTGAAAGTGAACAAACCTAAGTTAAATCCACTAGAAATCCACTAGAAATCTCTAAAAATCAGAGAGATACAACCGGCCAGGCCACTGTAGGCTTCCCTGAAGATCGCCACCGCGCAGTCCGCAGCGGCTCCCTCTGCCTCCGCGTCCTCCGTCAGCAGACTGGGGAGCACCGCGACGGCAGAGCAGGTGCCTGGAATGGAACGCACCTGGCACAACGGATCTGATGAATAACTGTGGGTTATTAAATAATACCTGGTTGGTGGTTGACCTACCCCTCTGATAAATATTAGTCAATTGGGATTAATCATTATTCCCAATATATGGAAAAAAATAAAACATGTTCCAATCCACCAACCAGATAATACTTCCCTATGGATCCAGCCGTGCCTTCTTAGGAAGTACGACCGTACCTTCTCAGACAGTGTTTGGATCCAGAGGGCTTATTATCAATAATATACCATAGCCCATAGTTATTTAATAGCTGATCCACTAATCCCTATGGATCCATGGCCACTGTCTGAGAAGGTACGGCGAACCCCCTAGTCATCACACCCCAGTCACACTTCCTAAAAAGCTACGGCTGGATCCTTAGGGAAGGGGTAAGCTCAGATGTAAGTCAATTAAGTCAACATTACAATGTCAGAAGTCAGGAAGAACAGGTTGCAACTGTTTTTTTAGATTTGTTTAGCAGTTTGCTACTTGGTCCCGACACGTCCTGGGGCTGGTAAACCCATGATCTTCTTCGGTTCCGGTGTAGACATCTTTCGTCAATTGATAATGCAATGTGTATCAACTTCCAACATGTATCCAAACCATTGCATTATAGTTTGAATAATTGAACACAAACCATCGAATTCAATGGAACAGTTTGGATACATGCTGATTTCCATATATTGCTGGGTAAATGATAATATTTCACTAACCTGAATTAATAAAAGGCCATTTGGGGATCATTTCCCTTACTAACCATGATTGGGAACATGCTGGTTTCCACATATTGTACTCAAACCACTCCATTGAATACACAGAAACGTGCCCTGAGTTGGACGATCCGCTCCCTCCTAACGGCAAGGTGGTGCCTCCTAACCACAAGGTGGAGGCAACTAATAAGTTGCGAACACACGGTCATTGTAGTCAAATCCCCCATAAACCCAAACGTGCACCAAGGCAAATGTGCGCCAACTTAGCTAACTCAAGTCCATTGAATCACCATTATATATTCAACTCCATTAAACCCCATGAAAGCCCATGAAATCCACGAAAAATCATCATCAACTTCGCCCGGCGCCTTGGCTTGTAGTGCCTCAAAGGATGACAGAGGCGTCCAATCCAGTCGCAGTGCGACAAGACGTTGGGAACCCATGCTGCGCACGTGCAAGTCACGTTGGGAATTGAAGAGCTTCACCACCTGTGCTAAAAAGGACGAAACAGCAAAAAACATGCACCAGAATCTGTTTGTAAAGATTTAGGATGAAGTGGAAGAAAAAAGAGATTGAAGGTCCTACTTACAAAATGTACTCAACCAAATAGTAAATTAAAATAAAGCATAATAGATCTAAAACAACCTCCGATTCAGACAAATAAAACAAAAACAATTCGTACCCTTACCAGGTTACCAAATCAATCCCCACCAGCTTGTACCAACCATCAACCAAGGTAACACATGCTTGGATGTTGTCATGATTAGCACAACCCCTCAAATTGGTTGGTAACATGGTTTATAAACCAACAAACATAACTGGGGGGGGGCACCACCTATCTTAGGAAACCACATGATGGATTCCCAATGGAAACCACTAGGATATTATTCTCTGGAAAACCATGGTCAGCCACTATGGTTTATAGTGTTTATAACAACATTTAATGTTTTTATGTTGTGGCTTTCCACATCATATTCCCACATCATAATGCGGTGTTACCCATCAATCATAGTATATTAATAATGATATATACCAACCATAATGGTATAATATTTCCATGTGCCTTTCCATATTGATACAATGTGTTTTTTTCCCAAACTTGTTGCTTTCTGGTTTGAACCCCCATCCAACTATATAGATATATCCCCGTAATCAACCTTCGGTAATCATGTCCATGTTCTTTTACCCATGAATCACTGTATATAATAAGACATACCCGACTACCATGTGGTTTTACCCAACTAATATATTTATAATGTAAATATGGTCCTGTCGTAAAATAGGCTATCCCGGTATCCCCAAACAAGTAGTTCATAATCATGGTCCCTCAGCAAAATTGCTGCCGTTGATGTGGCAAAACCATCATTTTCCGACACAGACATATTATCCATGTGGAACAACTACATTAACTCCCATAGGATCCATGTATGCCATATATGGTAACATTTACCATCAATATATCCCCAATGTTAGCATATATACCATACATGGATCCTATGGGACTACATCTATCTGTGTAAAATAACTACCATATTTCACTCCCCTGAAGCTCGCGGCCAACCAGGATGATCCAATCCCGGTTCGCGGACGTATAACTGGGGTGACTGATGACGAAACGTGTAGGTTAGGCTAGCCGTACCTCCTCAGACAGTGGCCATGGATCCATAGGGAAGGGCTATTAATTAAGGGCTAACTGCAGGATTTGGGGAACCTATCCACTCACTATGCACTGACCATCTAGCTATGGTTAAATATTATCAACTAATTGGTGGTTTGGAACATGAATTTTATTTTTCCCAAGAGTTGGGATGATCTTTGAAAGTCAGATCATCATCCCAACTCTTGGGGAAGATAAAATTCCATGGTTCCAAACCACCAACCAGTCAATAATATGGTTATAACTATGGATCCAAGCACCTTCCTAGGAAGTGTGACTGGGGTATGATGACTAGGGGGTTAAGTAAGTTAAGTACCTTCTGAGACAGTGTTTGGTTGGATCCATAGGGGTTATAACTATGGTTATAGATACCCTCTGGTAATTTAACATAACTATGGAAAATCACCATTTTCAATGGGAAAATCCACTATAAATGGCCATTTTCAATAGCTACGTTAAATTACCAGAGGGTAACAAAATTATTCCCAGGATTCACGCCTCCTCGGGTGTCGCGCCGTTGCAATGGTGCCGCAGCTTTCCGAGGAGGTCGGAGTCGTCCAACAGCAGACCTGGACGTGGAGAGCTGCAATGGAGAAAGGTAGGTTACCCTCTGGTAAACATACAAAAAACTATTGAACATGGCCATAGAAATAGTGGATTTATCCATTAAAAATTGTAATTTTCCATAGTTATGTAAACGTTTACCACAGGGTATGTGGAGCACCATGGGATTTTGCGGTGATTCAATGTGATGTTACGGTGATTTCATGGGATTTCATGGTGACTCAATGAGATTCGGTTGGATTTCATGGTGATTCAATGAATGGGAATGAGTCAGCCAAGTTGGGTTCTACCTCGCTTAACTTGTGTTTATGGTGACTATTGATATTATTATAGTATAATTTGACGGATAACAATAAACAACCTATAAATGGGAAGACAACAAGTTTGTAAGTTAGAGTTTATCATGATGCCAATTATCCAAATATCCAGATGATGGCTGTATCACGATCAACTCATAACATATCATAATGACCAAAATAAAGAAACGCACCATGTGACAGCAGTTCTCATAATCATCATATTAAGAATTTGTGACTGCCTATTATGATTTATCATGGATGGACTATTATTACCTTATGTTTAACCTTTAAACAACACAACATATGTGCATTGGTTTAGCATCTATGCTGGAGTCCAACAATGCAACTGTTTGCTTGGTTCGTATTACAACCACACACAAACAAACATAGTTGTCTAACTACTATGACCTCGTTGGAATCTGTTCCTGACTAGGGTTTATGATGGATATACCCGACTTATGCATACTTAGTTGGGTGATAGGGGGGCATCACCTTTCATGGAGGAGAGCCCCATTGCTTTCAAACATCTACTTGGACGATCGTTCAAATCCAACAAGCAAGTGATATGAACTGGCTCAACTCATCATTACACGCATATCAATTGGGATGGTCATCGAAGACTATGACTTACCTGACTGATAAATGCAACTCGGCTGGTACTACGATGAGGACTACCAACTCGGCTAGATCGCCAAATCAAGCATTGCAACATCAGGCAAACCCTTTGGTACCAAGCTTATGATACTTATATATACTTATGAACTTATAATCATGATTTCAACCACTGATCAGCAATTATTTTGAATGACATCCTTAATTCAGAAAACAGTGATGTTGGATGATATTTGGCGTGAAGCCACCAAGATATGATAAACACCATGAGACGAACCCCCTTGGTTTAGTAGGGCATTTTCATGGATATACATTTATTTGATACCACAACCATGAGGCCATGAGTTCACAGAATTGCCATAAGTTCGTTGGGGGTAGCCCCAGTAGCTGGATGGATTATTTATTATAAATGGATGATTTATAAATCGATGATTCATAATCTGGACAATTCCTCTTATAACTATGGATGATTCATTGTAATAATCATATTTCATGGACACTTCCTATAGTCCTATGATAAATGGATGATTTATGATGACTGGTTGGTGGTTGAGTTTCAACCCTCTGAAAAATGATGGAGTTTGTCAGTTGGGATGATGAAATTCCCAACTCAATGGAAAGTCATTCAAAATTCCATGGTTCCAGTCACCACCAACCAGTATAAGTATAGAATCCCTATGGATCCATGGCCACTGTCTCAGAAGGTATGGCTAACCACCTAGTCATCATATCCCAGTCATGATTAGATATAATCCCACAAAACAAAATTATATATGGTTATTAACCATTATTCATGGTTATTACTACAATAATCCCATTATTTTTTAGTTATTACTATGGTTAATACTAATAATCCCATTATTATTCATGGTTACTGGTGAAAAAAAAACATATATAATGGGATTATTAGTAATAACCATTAATAATGGTGATATTTATTTTATGGTACTCCCATGACTATAGGAAACCTCCTAAGCAAAACTCGCCAGGTCACCGTATTTCAGCTGCAACATCTCCTGCAAGACGCAGGCCACAGCGTCCACGGAGTGTAACACCTGGACATGGCCCGTGCATGGCCATGGCTTCGGCTTCCTGGTGCCGAAAAAGTTGGGGTTTACATCACTCCAATTCTTGTATGGTTCATGATATTTATAACATCTTATAACGTCTTGTAACATCTAATAACATCTTGTAACTTCTTATAACATCTTATAACATCTAATAATATCTTATAACATCTTATAACATCTTGTAAAATCTTATAACATCTTATAACATCTTGTAAAATCTTATAACATCTTATAACATCTTGTAAAATCTTATAGCATCTTATAACATCTTGTAAAATCTTATAACATCTTATAACATCTTACAACTACGTATAGTATTCATGGGATTTATAAACCAACTTTTGTCTGGGGGGGCACATTGCATCTCCGTACATCTCCGTGCTTAGCCAGTTCACCCAAATCTGTCCGCAAAAACTCGTTCAAAGATTCAAGGATATCTACAAGGTGGTGCCCCATAGTTAGCTAAGTTGGTTTATAACTCCCATAACTATGGTTTATGGTAGATATAACTATAGTTAATGGGGCTTATAAACCAACTTATAACTGGGGGCCACCATCCTGTACTGTATATATATATATTTTAGATATGGATCGGATATACCAAACTATCGTGTACCATTATCCAACTCTATCTACAGTATATTGATACCCATATGCTCCATGTATGGTATATTTACTTACAGATGGGTGATTTTTGTTGGGCAAATGTTGGTAAATATTCCATACATGGAGCATATGGGATATTAGATTATTTTAAAAAAAAAAAAAAGTACAGGCTGGGGCTAAGGCAAGCGTCAAAACATCTCCGATCATCTCAAAAGATGATCGATAAGGAGAATTCCAGGCAGAAAATTTGCCCTTTTGGATCATCTGAAATATAGATCCGGGTAAATTATAATATTTCACTAACCTGAATTAAGAATAATCTATTAAGGCCATAAATTATGGTATGATTTCCCATATAAAAACCATATAAAACCAAGCTTCGGGAGAACAGGCTTCGGTCGTGATCAAATTTACCCAAATGATTCACGTGATGTTAAGAATGGTGATCTGTACAGCTTTAAAAAAAAAAAGTGATGCTTTCCCCGTTATTTATATAACACGTGGATGGCCCAAAAAAAGTTCGATGATTCAGCAAACAGGATCCAAATCAATGGGAATTCCAGGATCCTAAAATGGAGGTACTGTACCATATAAGGCCATATGAATTGTGGGGATATTCCCTAAATAGGCCTGAAATTGAGGCCAAAAATCTATGGAATCGGTACCTCCAATTTACCACGTCGGTTCCTGAGAAATGGCCATTGACCACGTCGCCGTCCCGCAGGGTGCCAAGAAACGAAAGCACTGCGAGGACTATGTCTCTGTCCTTGGAAATTCGATGTTCTGAAGCACCGGAGCAACCATATTCTGGGTTACCCACATGGGTATGGGTCAATACCTATAGATACATTTTTAGTGGGATGAACATCCATTTACCAGCTATTTTGGGGTTCACTAGGTACCAGGGTTTTGACCCATCCCCACATGAATCCAACTGGCAGATGAACTACTGGGTACAACACATCCTCTTCAGTGTCACTCTAGGTATAAGCTGGTTGTCTCTGGCACAGTCACTCTGAGTCCATGTTAAATCCAGGATTTGCCCTCTCATGAGACATTGGCGCAGAAGAATTTGTTCAAACTCTGCAATTTTATAGTCAGCAACTTGCTTTTACCCAACTACATCAGGGTCATGCAAGTAATGCAAGTACCACGACATAGAATGTTCTTGTAGGATTCCTACACTTATTAATCTGATTTACCCTCTGGTAAACTAACGTAACTATGGAAAATCACCATTTTTAATGGGTAAATCCATGTAAATCCACTGTAAATGGTCATGTTCAATAGCTATGCTAATTAATCAGAGGGTAAATAGTAAATAGGCATTCATATCCACACAAAAAATCTCCGTCACTGGGGCACTAGCACAGTACCAACATGTACCAACCATCAAAATCCGTCGTCCATGTTAGTCATGTCATCGTTCTCCCATGGGACCCATGATATCTCCCAAAGTCATATCCCAATAAGCTATCCCAATTGTTTGTATCATTGTTTCCCAGAGATCTTCGAAATAATTATCCCAGTGTATCCCATATAATGTTTCATATAGATCCAACAATTTCACGATGATATCCCATATGGATTATTAGTGGATATATAATAGTTAATGAGGTTTACAATGGGATTATTCATTCATGGGATTATTAATGGGATTATTGGTGGGATATGAATGGAATATATATTGATATATTGTACCTATGGATCCAGCCGTAGCTTCTGAAAGGAAGTATGACTGGGGCATGATGGCTAGGGAGTTCGCCGTACCTTCTCAGACGCCATGGATCCATAGGGGATACCTGATGTATGTACGAGACGTGCCCATCCAAGTGTCTTTGCTGCTCTTCTCTCACTGCATCTTTGATCCCTCCAAAGGCCGAGGCAAAGTCCATGGCATCCAGGCCCGTGCCACTTCGACGCTGCCCGCAGTTGCGACAGAAGAGCATGCCCATTAACCTTCTCGAAGAAACCCAGGAATCATGGGGATACGGAATGGGAATGGGAAGATCATCAACGAAAAACATGGGAATTTCTTTATGATTTGATGATTTGGGTATGTCTGAACACGGGAGAATGGATAATCATTGATTATTAACCATTACTAACCAGTGATTATTAACCATTATTAACCATCACCATCATGAAAGCCCATACTAAACCAATGGATTATCTCATACATCCACCAGCCAGATGTCTTTTGCCCAAGCGTCAGGTGTCCACACTTGGCGCATCGCGAAGGCTTTGCCGCGCCGCCCAACGCGTCGTCCTCCGATTCGCTGGACGACCCGGCGGCGGGACCGGGACGGTCACCGAGGCGGGAGACGAGCAGCCGCCTGCGGTCGACCGTGCGTTGGGTGGTGCCGAAAAAACGTGAGGCTTGGCGAAGTTCGGGCATTTCTCAACAAAAAAATCGTGATTTCATGGGATGTAAGAAAAAATCTTGGGATTTAGCCAGCGAAGTTTGGTTTATGACTAGGTTTATGTACTAGGTTAACTATGGTTTCTGGCTATTGATGGTACAACTATGGTTGGATGACAACCAACTTCTATCTCGGGGGCACCACCTCCTAGGCTGAAGTGGCCCAGAAGAGACGTCCAATGTACCGTCAATTTAACAGTTACGGCTGGATGTTTCACCTATTGAAACTGGCGAATTAAAACATCGGACTACCCGGCCTGGTAAACTGACAGTTTGCTATTGAACATGGCCATAGAAATAGTGGATTTACCCATTAAAAATTAGGTGATTTTCCATAGTTATGTAAACGTTTACCAGAGGGTAAAAGGAACGAATGTTTTGCTAATGCGACAGTCGGTGGATATCAAGCAACAACACTGGAGTTCCTACCAACATTTACCAACAATAAGAATAACTGGGTCTTCTGATGACGTAGGACAGGATATAATACGTATATGTACCACTTCCTTGTTACTTGCAGTCTTGGAGCCTGACTGTCATTCTGATGTACCGATATCCACATCACAAGTCATCATATTGTTTGGATGTGAAGGACCCTTGGCGCGATCTGCGATGTTGCTTCAATTTACCTGGACCAATTTGTTACCCAAATATGGCATGAGTGAACAGTGTTTCTTTCTAGTTTTTAGAAAACTCATCAACTTCAGTCTGGGTAAATTATAACAAACTGATAAATTCACTAACCTGAATAGTTCGGCCATTTGGGGATTTTCTTAAACCATAATTTACCCGTGGTTCTTTGGGTAAAAGCTGACCCCAGCTTCACCATCTTCACCTATTTCGTGGCAGGAACGCTGGAGAGCCCGCGGGCAGCCGGTCATTGTGCGAGCTGCGCGAATAGCTGGGCGAATCCATGGGGAAAACGCCCCATGCGGCGACGACTCGCTGGTGGCAGTGGCTGGGGAAAACACCTCCGAAAATCTGGGAAAACATCTGATTCCGGCTATTGGCTTGGGCTGGGTTGGCGCTTAACCCAAGATTTCACCACAGAGTTTAAGCGACATGGGCGATAGGTTTTTTTTTAGTCAGTCTGGGACATGGGTGTGGAAGATTGAAAGAGCAATATCTCCACAATCAATCTGAGTCCATCTCCGTCACGCTTTGCTCGGCCAATTACTCAAGATCCGTGGAGAGCTCTTTAGCCAGGAATCAGGGAGCCCTAGCTCCACTTGAGCCATGAAACAAATCATCCTGGGGATTTCCTCGGAAGAAATGTTACCTTCAAATCTTTTTCGATGCCGAAGTAGGGCCGTTGACATCATGAAGAATCTGGGGTGAAGATTTCCTGAATCACTGAAGTGTCAGGTGGGATGCACATGAGTGTCTCAAGAAATTGCGAGCCCCGAAAGTCATTGGCTTCCAGTGAACCTTTCATCCCGATGCTAACGGATTCTTTCCGCGATGATTTTGTTTGCAATCCAACTCTACACATTTCCTTTTATGCCCAAATCCACCGTGGTTTTTGGGGGAATTGTAGGCGATGTCCACCAATCCCAAATCTTGGTCATTCGAAATAGTCATTCCAAGGATTACCCTCTGGTTATTTAACATAGCCATGGAAAATCACCATTTTTAATAGGTAAACCATCTATAAATGGGCCATTTTCCATAGATATGTTAAATAACCAGAGGGCAAATAGAAACAGGAACCCTCTGACCAAACAAAACATAGTTGAAAAAAACATAGTTGAAAAAAACACAGTTGACTTTTCAGGAACCAAATCATGTTCATTCAACCTTGCCCCACCCAAAGTTAACCCACCAAATAGTAGATATACTTAGCTTAGCTGATTAGTTATATCTGATCATTAGATTCAATAGATATCATGAGTGTCACCCATGGGTCCCATCAGCTCTCCATGACCGGAACGGTCAACACCAGGTCGTAACGCGCGCTCCTCGAGTACCAGCACTACGTCGGCAGCCTCGGCAGAAGCTGCGCCAGGGTCTGGGGTCTCTCCATCTTCAATTTTCCGTGAAAAAACGGCAATCATTTGGGGTATACCCCATAGGATCCATGTATTGTATATATGCTAACATTGGGGGTATATTGATGGTAAATGTTACCATATATAGCATACATGGATCCTATGGGTTTGGGGTATACGTCATTGGGGTTCCGTCGGCCCAATTTTTGGAAACTTACCAGGATGTATCTGCCTGAAGCCCCAATGACACCTGCTTTGAACATAACATTCTAAGCAAAGTGGATGTTGAAACCCTGGTAATTATCATGCGAAAATCTCTCCGTCAGACTGCATTCGGAAGTGAACACACGTGAAGCAGGATCCTTCCACTTAGTGAGTGGTTAGTAACTCGGGCTTATAACCCATATAAGAATGTTATAACCCATACATAAATGTTATAACCCAATATATAAATTGGATAGTCCACGGACTTTGGGGACTTATTAACCAGGGTTATTTTCACCACTTCCTAAGAGGGATGATCTTCCAAGGAAGTGCCCAGACGACCAACATGGTTCATGTACCAACAGGAATATGTCGGATATACTATATAGATACCCAGATGCTCCATGTATGGAATATTTACCTACATTTACCCCAAAAATGGCACAAATGTAGGTAAATATTCCATACATGGAGCATCTGGGATATAAATAGAGAGGCCAGCGCTCTCAGCGCCCACAAATCTCATAAAAAATGCTATGTTTTGAGCATTTTCTGACATGTGTGTCCAAGTCTGTAAGCAATATGTACTGTTGCCTTTTCCAGCAGTTTTATTTTAAGACATGTTCTCATTGCTGCAGGTTGTCTATCAACGGTTCTATGTCATTTAGCCAGTGAATATCAGAAAGAAAATTCAATTTTGCCCTGTTGCGCCATGCTCAAATGATAGGGGTGTGTTTGCTTCTATGTTGCAGGTTTTTATAGCAAGCATGAACAAGAGGAAACAGCACTTTTGATTGACAGAAGATTTCATTTTGTCCCCAAGCAGCTTTGCATCTTCCTGACAGAGCTCCCTACAGAAAGAGATATGGAATGTTTTGCAAGGGTAAGCATATTGTTCCTTTGAAAAATATTGTGTTATTAAACCCTAGTACAGCATCAACTCAGATTCTAAGGGCCACAGCATGCTTCTCATAAGTCATCGTTGAAAATTTGAAAGAATGTGGCATTTCTTGAGGAAGTTGTGGCATGCCTCTATGCAACATTCTTCTATAGAGGGAACAACATTCCTTTGAGAAAGTGTAAAGCAAGACCCTGAGATGTGCATAGCATTCCTTTAGAACAAGTGCGTTCTGTCTTCCATATATTTTAATGAACATATGTAATTCCTTCCATAGAGGTAGTAGTCCTTTTAGAGAAGGGTAGCATTTCCTTAAGATAAAATATGCATATACATTAGTGTTTTTCAGAAAAGCGGCATTCCTATCAGACAATACTTGATGGTTTCATGAAATCTTGATTTTAAACAACGGTATTATGCCATATTACTTCGAAAACATATTATTCATTTGGAAAATATAATATGATTTTCAAATAACATAATTCACTGTATGATATTATTAATTATATATAATATACAGTTACCCACAATCTTCCTTTCAAAAGTATGTAGCATCTCTTTGAGAAGTAGCCTTCAAGACACACAGCAGTCCTAGTGACAGAGTATGGCTGAGTATGGCGTGATTTACAGTAAGTTGTTGTACAAAAGGGAACCCTTTCATATATACAACAATCCCTTTGAAAGAGGGTGATGTGTCTGTAATAAAGCGCAATGCATGGAATTGCCATTTGAAGAAGTATAGTGTTCCTTGCAGGAAATATAGCATTATTTTGAAAGGGTATTCTTCAATAAGCAGTTACTCTTTCAGAGACCACAGTGCAGCATGCCTTTATGCAAGTTTCCTTGAAAAGGATGCAATATATTATATTTGTTCATTCCTTTGAAAAGAGGGTGGTATTCCTTGCTCAGAAGAAAATTACACAAACAGAGCCACCACCTCCAGAAAATCGGAAATTAGGCCTTGCTGTTCAGGAAATATGGAGAAAACATTTTCAAGGTAAAACCACCCCTATAGACAGGCGGTACAATAAGCAAAACCACCAAAAAAACACAAAAACCGAAAAAAACAAAAAAAACAAAAAAAACAAAGATCCAGCAACTATGAGCCCCCCAACCTTTCTCTGGAATCTGTTTTTTTTGTTTTTGTTTTTTGTTTTTTTCGGTTTTCAGTTATGGAGTTAAATTTTGTGTAGGGAATTTTGTTCTTGGGGTTTGCCTGTGGGAGATGCAATGTTGAAGTGACAAGTGCAGCCATATTTTTTTTCTGGATGGGTAGATTCATGGAGAAAAGTGGCAAAAGGAGACTGCCAAAACGTGGGCTCTCACAACGCTGCTTTCAGGATAAATATTAAAAGAACAAAAACAGATAAACCATGATGAACATTGATGAACCTATCCCACTCGTCAAGAAACCACGAGTTTTGCACCAGACATTTTCGCCAGATTCGATCGACGTCGTGAACCAAGAAGCTTTGGCCAATTGTGCTGAAGTCGTGGTGAAAACCACCGCGCTTTGCTTCAGCATGCCTAAAACAACAGAAAAATCAGTAACATGGCGGCACATGATCGCATTCGCAACCATTGCGGTGCATCGAGAATGTGCATCGGATAACGATATGAAGCATTGTTTGTAGTATGTAGATAATTAATATAATATGCACCACATAATTAATATGTATACAACTTTAATGATACATGATATTATGAACATTTATGAACCACGAATACAAATAATGCATATAATCATTTCCAGTTACAAATTACAATGGCTTCTTCTGTCTACATCCTCCCTGTCGCTTGTTGCCGCCTCGAATTGCTGCATGCCAGACCAGAGAACCTGGGAGCTGTTGGCTTTGACAGCGAGCTGGCTTCAAGTCAGTATAGATTTGTTTGGCTGAAAGTAGATCAGAAAAATACCTTTGAAGCAGTTCGGCATGTTCGAAAATGTGTATCATACAAGTGCTTGTTGCTGAGAAAACTATGTTGAATCAGAATCAATCCCAATTTTATCCCAAATGTATGGCCACTTCAGACTTTAGACTCCCGCTTTGTCAGGTATGTCATTGCATCTCGCTGCCGTTCGTTCTTAGCTCCCAGCAGGTTGCTGGATCTAGACTGGCAAAGGGAGAATCCTGGAATCAGCATCGCAATGAGTTGTTACATCACTATACAAAGTCCATGGTGCTGGAGTATTTACCTACATTTATCCCATTTTTATGGCCAGTTTTGTAGGTAACATATACTAGCACCATGGAGCATATTAAGGTAATTCCCCATATTTCAATGGCCATGACTCAGGAACCGATAAAAATTGGAGGTACCGATTCCATATATAAGGTCTAAGGGCTATGTAAGGGGATATACCCCCAAAATATGGTCTTATAACTATGGTATCCTGAGGATCCTGGAATTCCCATTAAAATATACAGCTACTAACAGTTACTATCCGATACCTATCAGATAGGCAACATACGGCAAAATCATAACATAAGTAACATAAGGCAACAAAAATGCCCTGCTTACCTATTTCAAAAGCAACTGGACGGTTTGGGCATGCTATATTCATGACTCAGTCACTTTAAAACCGCAATTTTACCAGCTAAAGATGTTTCCTGTACTGCAATTTCGCCCTTGAGCCTTGAACTAGCCGACATTTGAGTCATTGTCGAATCTCAGAAGTAAATATGAAAAATACATGCAAATATAGGGTGGCAAATATATGATTTATGATTAACAATGCCATCTGATTTCCCGTTGTGTGCTTTACCATGGGTTCCCCTCAAGTACTCGCCGGTGAGACAAGGAGACAAAGGTCTGGATAACCTGGGCGATGTGATCTGCTCCCCAGGGATTGAATCCCAAGCTTCTCACATCCACTGGTTGGCTGAAGCTTACCATCTGGTTATTTAACATAGCCATGGAAAATCCCTTATAAATGGAGGTTTCTAGTTGGGAAAATCATCTATTTCTATGGGCCATCTATACCATGGCTATGTTAAATAACCAGAGGGTAGTTCTTTTTTGTCACCGGTGCAACCGTTGCCAAGTTCGAAAAACGTAGCTCTTCACCCATGGCGTGCTTTTCACCATGGCTATGGTCTTGCCACAGCCTTAAGCACCGCAGCAGCGCCTACTGCGGACTGAAGGACTCGACTCATTTCGCACTGCAATAGTGTCCATTTGGCGGTGTGTCGGGGTCTTGTGCCCCTGGTGGGCGTCACAGTGGCTGGTAAATGGATGTTCATCCCCCTGAAAATGGTATTAGTAGGTATTGATCCATACCCATTTATGTTAATCAACCCGTGGTAGGTCCAGTTTTTAAAGTCCCGAGGTTTTTTTATTTGAGGGCAACATCCAGCCTTCGTTATTCATATTGATTCGTTGTCATTGATATAACCGAGCCTTTTTTCTTTTCATAGGACCGGGGAGATCGGCCAGCCCGGCAAGCGATATCTGTGTGAGTTGCAGTTGTTGCATTCTCATCACCCTATATCATACCCTCTGGTGAACTAACATAGCAATGGAAAATCACCATTTTTCATGGGAAAATCCACTATAAATGGTCATTTTCCATTGCTATGTTAGTTCACCAGAGGGTATCCCCCAAAATGAACAGGGCAAATACTCAGCGTACCTGGAGTCTTTCCCCAGAGAATCCGAGCAACCATAAATTGCCCGCGCGATGCCCACCCGCACTTGTTGTCCGCCTGCGGTTTGGGGAGGCTGAAAGTTAAGGACAAGATCTTACAGCGTGGCATCATCTATGATCATCTATGTACGCAAGTAGAAAGGACCTTAAATACAAAATGACCAAAACCTATGGTCATCTATGATCATCTATGATCATCTATGATAATCTATGATCATCTATGATCATCTATGATCATCATCTATGTACTCCTTAAAGGAGTAAAAAACAAAACCCAGTGACCCGAAGCCTCTGAAGCCTCTCCAAATCTGGTGCAGAACCCCACAGCAGAAGTCACAGTCCAGTCCCAACATCGGGATGGTCGTCACCGGATATCGCTTCCCGGTGTCAAAACCGTGGCTGAATGGCACATGCAGTAGAGCCATATCCATGTTGTGTATGGGTGAATCCTTGAGCTAATCTATCGCTATATACGATAAATTACCAAAGGGTGCATATATATATATATATATTATGGTTATATGATGTTATATGATCCTATAATCAGGAGGAGAAGGATTTACAGCTTTGTTAAAATCTAGAGACCATCACCTCGCAGGTGGGAAAAAAAAACATGTACATATTAATTTCCCATTCCAACATTGCAAAGTTTACACATGTTTGCACCATGACCCATAGGATCCATGTATGGTATATTTGCTAAATTTCGCTAACATTGGGGGTATATTGATGGGATCCATGTTACCATATATAGCAGCACCATGGATCCGTCATGGGTGATAGTTTACATACAAATCAGCAGAAACATATTCTGAGAGCAAACCCCATCCCTTGCACCTGAAAGGTGTGGGACTTGAGGCCCAGCAGAGCGCTTTTCCACCTGTCGTGCAGGTATGGGATGATCATTGCCAACGTACCCTGGACCCTCAAAAATACCACCACAAAATGGTAAAAGTATTGAAATCATGAGGTAAAACATCGTTTTTTGGATGGTTTTTGTGGCTACAAACGGAGGAACAAACGTTATCTTGGTGGTTTGTTGATCGCCTTCGAATGACTTGAAGTGGGACGAATGGTCCAATCCCTAAAAGGCGAAGTGGGGCCCGGATGGGGCCTTGCGTCATGTTGAGTTTAGCAGCGAAATGCGCAGTGGCCCGTTGATCCCTCAGAATGGTTTTCTTGATAACGGCTGTGTCACTGTGCGTGATATGATTCCCCACCAACTAACCAGCAGAAGCCATGTACAAGCATGTAGCAAACCATGGTAAACTCAATAATCTTCTCGCTTTTGTCATAGGGAGCTGATGCGGGTCTGCTGGGTCAGACCCCCCTCCTCTCACTGGTTTTGACTGACAGAATCCCCAACCGATGGGTGTGCTTTAGAGCGGTTGAGAGCAGTTGAGAGGAGGGGGGTCTGACCCTGTTTTGTTGGCATTTTACAGTGTTTCATGCCTTGGAACGGTACCATATGTCCATCCACAGGATGGACACCCATCGGTTGGGGATTCTGTCAGTCAAAACCAGTGAGAGGAGGGGGGTCTGACCCAGCAGACCCGCATCAGCTCCCTATGATTTTGACCAAATGGGGAAAACATATTGGTTTGGATATGTTTGGATCATGAACATTCAGAACCCAACAAGTTTCAAACCCAACTTCCCATAACTTACCATATTGGCTTCGGGAAACTTTTGAAAAAAGCCTGCTGACCGTTTCTAAGGTGCCATGGGCCCGCCTGAAAGTCCGTAAGACCACAGGCGCGGAGAGCGTCCATGTAGTGCTGATGGACATACGGCCTGCCGTGAAAAAAAAAACATGATGAGATTTGACCCAAATATCAATGGATTTGTTTAAGGGAAAATCTACAGGAAACCATGTCATGTTTTCTTACCATCAAATTTGGGTTTTCCTTCAAATTTTCCCATCATCCAATTCTATGAAAATACTTGAGTGATGATGTTGGTTTGTATTCCATACTATGAGTATTGTGAGTCACAGTGATTGTAGCGACAACATGCGACAAACCAACATTCGAAAGGAGATTCTTCAGTCTGCAAAACATGTTCATCAAATTTAAGTGATGAGCCAACATGACAAGTGCTTTGTAAATAACGGAACCGACCAAAATCTGCAAGTTCAAAGGCCTTTATTTTTAACATAGTTAACAACCAGTCCAGGTGCACACCGTTGAGGAGCATAAACCAAAGGAAGTCCACTTGCAGCTAGGAAAACGGCCTTACCTGTCTGAAGATAGGGTAACCCTGTGTAGATCCATGCGGTAATCATCATTATCCTCATCAAGATAGACATTATAGACATGAATTTGGGCTACTAGTAGCTATCCCCTTTTGCAAATACTGTAATACTGTAGACCCAAATCGTCTCTCGTACAATTTCCATTGGCTCGACAGTAGTATCTACTGTGGAAATGGAAGCAAAACAAGTTGGATAAGAACTGTTCGATTGACACTTACTTCCTTTTCTTCCATTGGTATCCCCATATGGGTGTCAGAAAATTGGATATACCCATCAAATATATAGCCATTTCAATGGGAAACACCATGTTGAAAACCATCAAACTTGCTGCTACCTTTTCATACAAAGCCATAAAAATCAGTGTCTAAACAACAGGATTTGCAAACCAGGAACCCATTTTCACCAAATCCACAACCTCTGTTGACTCTGTTGATTCCCCCAGTTCTGGTGGATTTCCTATTGGGAAATAAATGGGGAAAATCGGAGGTTCATCTTACACAAAACCAGGTCAAAGTATCGCCCCAAAAACAACCTGCTTGGTGGTTGACCTACCCCTCTGAAAAATGATGGAGTTCGTCAGTTGGGATATATAGAAAAAATAATCCAAATGTTGCAAACCACCAACCAGCAACAGGTGACCAGTACACTCTTGGTCCTGATCTTTCAGGAACAATCAACAGGCCAGTTGAATGTCTGTGAATCCATTTAAGAATCCATGTCACATCGGGCAGAATGTTTTTGTTAGTGAGGCTTTGACAACCATATACATGATATTCCCATTGATCTCGGTAAATTATAATATTTCACTAACCTGAATTAAGGCCCATTTGGGGATGATTTCCTTTACTAACCATGATTCCCAGTGAGGTCGCAGTGAGGTCGTTATAATTTACACAGATTGATATACCCCCACTATTGGCTTATAATATCCAGTAGTTGATTATCCAATACTGTAGATGTTAATAGTTGATATTGATTATCCACTAATAATAGTTGATTTATCCAATAATAGTTGATGATCCATGATGATCCAATAATCATATCCAATATTTAGGGCAAATGTTGGTAAATATTGCATACATGGAGCATATGGGTATACATGATATTCCCATTGATATACCACCACTATTGGCTTATAATATCCAGTAGTTGATTATCCAATACTGTAGATGTTAATAGTTGATATTGATTATCCACTAATAATAGTTGATTTATCCAATAATAGTTGATGATCCATGATGATCCAATAATCATATCCAATATTTAGGGCAAATGTTGGTAAATATTGCATACATGGAGCATATGGGTATACATGATATTCCCATTGATATACCACCACTATTGGCTTATAATATCCAGTAGTTGATTATCCAATACTGTAGATGTTAATAGTTGATATTGATTATCCACTAATAATACTTGATTTATCCAATATATAATAGTTGATGATCCATGATGATCCAATAATCATATCCAATATTTAGGGCATATGTTGGTAAATATTGCATACATGGAGCATATGGGTATACATGATATTCCCATTGATATACCCCCACTATTGGCTTATAATATCCAGTAGTTGATTATCAATACTGTAGATGTTAATAGTTGATATTGGTTATCCACTAATAATACTTGATTTATCCAATAATAGTTGATGATCCAATAATCATATCCAATATTATCTTATACCCTCTGGTAAATTAACATAGACCCTGGTAGATAGGGGTTGGAAGACTAGTTTCCATTAAAAATGGGTGATTTTCAGGGTCTATGTTTATTTACCATAGGGTAATCCCACTTGAATCTCCCAAAAAAAAAAGCACCAGACGTCGCCTGCCAAAGAGGATGTTGTCCCTCACCGAGCCGCGGATGAGATGCGGCCTGGGCGTGGCGGCGTGGGCCGAGAACAAAGGCCGCGCACCGGGAGATCTTAGTGGCGGCCAGTATGCCCATGGGCCGAAGAAACCAGTGAAACTACTGTGAAATGGCCATTTATAGAGGCCATTTATCCATAGCTATGTTAATTTACCAGAGGGTAATATGTTCATATCCATAGTGTTGTAGGATTATCCCTATGGATCCATGGCCACTGTCTGAGAAGATTGAGAAGGTACGGTGGTTCACCCCCGAAGAGTCATCATACCCCAGTCGTACTTCCTAAGGCACGGCTGGATCCAAAGGGGTAGATATGGGAGTGTCATGGATTGTCTCAAAACTGGGAAGCCCAAAATCCAACAAAATATCGAGTTATCATCATGTTCTCAGTAAAACAAACACTTGCACTTATATGATCCAATAGGTATATAGACCTGGTCACCCGTTCCATTTTTTGCCGGCGCCCCAGCTGTTGACCGCAGAACGCCACGCGGCCGGACGTCTTCTGGGAGTCGCCTCCCCACAGTCACAGCAGAATTCATAGCCAATCTTGGTTGGTTGGTGGTTGACCTACCCCTCTGAAAAATATGAGTTCGTCAGTTGGGATGATTATTCCCAATATATGGAAAGTCATAAAATTCCATGGTTCCATGACTGGTTGGTGATTGATATACCTACCCCTCTGAAAAATATGACTGCGTCAGTTGGGATGGATGGAACTTCCCAATCTATGGAAAGTCATAAAATTCACGTTTCAAACCACCAAGCAGCAATCTTTGATACCAAAAGAAATTTAGATGCCCTGCAGAACAAAAGTCACAGTCGCACACACGCACACGCATACACACATATTGGATCATGTTGGATCATACTGGTTGTATAGGTGAATAAATTTTAATCCATTGGTTATATATAGGTGAACAACCCTTGGAAGGGACATAAAACCCTGCCAAAGGATCCGCCTTGTGAATACAGGGTGGGGCCCCAGTTCGTTCGCTGAGTTGGTGCAAATAACTCTAATAACAATAGTGTATGATACGCAAATAGCATCAAATAGCTATATTTAGATTCGGGTTATAAAGCAACTTAAAACTGGGGGGCCCCATCCTGTACTAATCCTTTATAAGTTATTGGTTACCCTCTGGTAAACATACAAAAAGCTTTTTAAAAAAATGGCCATTGAAATAGTGGATTTTCCATATTTTCCCATAAAAAAATGGTGATTTTCCATAGTTACGTTAGTTTACCAGAGGGTATATCAAAGTGAATACTCTCCCGCCTGGCACTCGCCTGCTACCCGCGATGCAGGGAACCTCACCGAGGAGCGCCCACAACAAGGTGGTCTTGCCACTTCCTCCATGTGAGCCACGCGATGTTGGGTGATGTCATGGGATGTTCATGGGGATTTCTTTAAATGTTGATTTAATGTTGGTTGGTGGTTTTAACCAGCTTGAAAAATATGAAAGTCAATGGGAAGGATTATCCCATATATTATGGACAATAAACAAATGTTTGAAGCCACCAACCAGTAATGGGATGTAAACAAAGGGTATTCTACCAGCGAACATGCGACCAAAACATAGAGTGATGGGAGAAAAAACATCAAATATATGGGGGATATTATACAATGTGGCCCCCCCCAGTTATAAGTTGGTTTATAAGCCCCAGTAACTATAGTTATAAGTACCACAAACCATAGTTATTGGAGCTATAAACCAACTTAGCTATCTAGGGGGCCTCACATTATAGGAATATGATGTGCACAGTAAGCAACGATGGTTGGGATTTCCGAATGTTCGTCTGAAAACGGGGTAAGTATACCATCCAATAGCCATTTTCTTGTGGGATTCGACATATATATTTCACTTAGGGGGCTCATAAGCATCAAACATTGGGAGAGCTACTACTGTACTAAATATGCTGGAGTTCTCTATGTCACTGTACCTTTTGGCAGTTCCCTGAGTGTGTTTTCCCCAAGCAACTCACCTAAGAATCTTTTAAAGCAAACCTGATACAGTAGATAAACCAGAAGCGATGAAACATACCCAGATTGAAGCAAAAAGGGCGTTGCATAAATTGTGAGTCTTTCTTTATCGAATAAATTCATATGTGCCATGGTCAAAACATGGTATGGTTTATGGTCATCCATCCCAGAATAGAAATCCTTGCAATGGTTGTATACATATTTAACAATGACCATGGCACATATGTGTTATATATATATATTATATCCATGGACTCCATAGTATGTATCCAATAGTACTACATTAAAGGTGAGCACCCCCCCAACTATGACTATGAGTGGGTTTATCAACCCCCTTAACTATAGTTATATCCTCCACAGACTCTAGTCGGCCTACTTATGTACTTCAACTTAGCTATTTAGGGGGCCTCAGCTTAAGTATGGCTTAGAAATTCATACGCCTCGCCTTAAGTATATATGTACTCCATATTCTATATCCATTTAGATATCCGATTAGATATCCAATTAGATATCCAACTAAATATCCAATAATATTCTATTATGATATCCAATGTATAATATTAATACATATTATTACATTTATTATTATATTATGGTTGGTAAATCCCTACCTACCGTAGCAATTCACTCTTCGGACAGCAGCAATTTCAGGAACTGGTCCTGCACCGCCCAGGACCGCCATGAGCTGTCCGGGCCGCAAGGTGAGGTTGATGCCTTCCAGGACTTGTCATCAAAAAAAAAAACAGTGTTTTACCCTCTGGTAAACTAACATAGCGAACTGGAAAATCACATTTTTTTCTAATGGGAAAATATGGAAAATCCACTATTTCAATGGCCATGTGAAAAATAGCTTTTTGTATGTTTACCAGAGGGTACCCCATCCTTTTAGTAATTTGACCCGGCCTCTAGAGACTCTAGAGTAAGAAGGAATGGGCTGCTTAAAACATATTTCACTCATTGCGTGTTTGTGAAGTGTTTTTGTTTCTGGCTGTTGGGGATACTCTTTGGGCTTTTTTAAATTGGGATGTTTGGAGGGTAGTCATCTTGCAATGGATAGAAGATGGAATATGGATATTGGAAGGTATTGTATCTACTTCAGGATGATTATTATATATATATAGAGATATGTATTGTTTGTTTATTTATATGTTTATCCCATCTCCACCCCTCAACGCTGGGTCACCTAAGTGTAAATTACATTTCCCGGCCTCTCCGCCTCAAAAATATGAGTTAGGGTGTTATAGGGGTGTTTTATGACAGCTGTGTTAGAATAGGGGTGTAGAATAAGGATAGACAATCTCAACTAATCTCTAACAAACTTGGATATACGCGGAGTATCCAACTTTTGGAACATTAAGCACCAAACTCGAACAGTTTATCCTCAGGTCCTTGAGATGCAATGCCTAAAACAAAAAATATCACTTCAACCATGTCACCCACTCTTCACCAGCTGGTTTATACATTTTAGTTTTAATTTCAGCACATCAATTTACTATATGGAACCCAAACACTTGCTATCAACAATTCATGTCTTTGACATTGAATATGGCCAAGCGGCAGCGGAGCACCGACTCAGCTTCGCGCATCTGGCATGGATTGATTGTTCGATGCCCGGACGTCCTAGGGGCTTCCAACTTAGTCTTTATACTTCTCATAAAATTTATACGTTGTTGTGAACATGAAACATTGTGCAAAACGTAATTTAACGCATTTAAAAGCTGTAAGAGTCAATACCAAACCAATTTCGACATCTTGTAATAGAAATATATATTCATATATCATGGCGCGCGCAGTTTATGAATTATGATCAATGTACACAAAACCATATTCATAGACGAAGAGCCAAACCCCATTAACCAATCATCTTCCATCCCTTAATTTTATACCAAAATGAATAGATCCATAATAGATCCATGGGATATCTACAGTGTGGTCCAAACCCCAAACGATAAGTTGCTTTATGCCTAGCTTCACTATCGTTTATGCTCAACATATCTACAGTAAAATGGACCCAGCTGTACCTTCTTTGGGGGTTCAGCCGTACCTTCTCAGGAGGTGGCCAAGGGTCCATTAAAAAGATGGGTTTGTAGGCTTTGTAGGCAACATGAAACAACCAACTTATGACCGGCCCCAAGTTATGGCCCCAGATAACTCGCATCACTGGCTTGCCTGGCAGGCATCTCCACGCAAGCGCGACTCAGTGGACGGTGACGTGGACGTACCATGCCATGGTGGTTTTTGGGCTCCCCGAAATCGGTTCAGAGGGAATCACATACAATACCCATGAAATCGGCCAATTATAAATGGAATATCCCCATGAAAAGAATGCACCAAGCTGAGATCTTTGGTTAGAGTGTGGGTTCTTAACCAATTCAACTCACAATGTCACGAGACATCCTTGCTGGCGTGGTTCGAAGTCACCCAATGTTGAGCCTTGAATATGCTGGGATTTAATAACGAACATAGACTATGGGATTCAACATCTGGGAGTGCCAAAGAGGAACACCGCCTGACAGACGTACCAAAAAAGGGGTGTTTCTCAAACTTAGGGTACCCCATATGTCCCAAATTGCCCATGCTTATTTCAATTGAACAAATCACCAATGAATTACATTGTGAATGGGAGTCTTCCACTCCCTGCTGCCCGGCTGATTCGCGTTCGGGGCCGAACCATGGAGTTCACGGGCGTGGGTGGAGTTGAAGTGGAGAGTTCCGGCCTTGGAATCAGTAAAGCCATGGGCAAAATATCCATGCGGCCCCAAGCATTTCGGGTGTTTCTGGGCTTGGATCATATGATAAGTGTCTATTCCGTTCATTGGACACTGATAATTGGACACTGATAATATTTAATTGGACACTAATAATAATATATATATATATAGATATAGATAGATAACGTTGATAACATTAATGACTTAATGACGTCAAATCTTGCGGAAGTCCCACAACTTTCAGACAACACAACTTTGGGTAGTCTTTTACGTTGCCAAATTGGTGAACCACAGATTTGCCGGAAATTTCAGACATGCTAAATTGAACTTCAAGTATCAGGTCCTCAGTTCATGAAACATCACATTACAATCAGCAAATCATCACAATCTATACAAGTCTTTCATCTGGTTGGTGGTTGCAACCCCTCTGAAAAATATGAGTTCGTCAGTTGGGATTATTCTTCCCAATATATGGAAAGTCATAAAATTCATGTTCCAAACCACCAAGCAGTGAAGCTACAGGTGTCAGACTGGGTTTCCCAGCAGCACCTGCATGCTCACAGGCAAAGAGATCGGCAAGGACAACCTCTGCGAGGCGGACTTACGTGAGTGGATGTCTGTGACCAGTAGATATCACATCTACTAAGGATACCGCTTCAATCCCCCGTGTCAGATGCGTGTCATTCAAAATCATCATTCCACACATTCTTGGAAACAAAGATATTTCAGAGCACCAACCAGGTAGATGCAAATCTGTATGTAATTAATACTGTACTAGTACGTGTAACGCTCCTTCAGTACCATAATTTGCTGTTCAGTTAGAGACAGATAAAGGCCTGACTAATTCCTTTGGTCAAACACCATCAAAAAATGATGTTGCACCCCCACAGGGTGGGCCCCATAGTTAGCTAAGTCGGTTTATAACTATAATAACAATAGTGTATGATACTTATAGCTATTTTTACACGGGGTTATAAACCAACTTATAACTGGGGGGGCCCTTCCTGCAAATGTGGACATGATAAAGAGACCCCCCCAAAAAAAGTGGATTTACCATGGTTCATGATCTCCACTATAAGTTTATGGAGATATGAATCCTGGTTTTTGCAAAGGTTCACCCATTTTTGTGATCACAGGTGGATGGATGGAAAAAATGATGGACAATTTGAGAATTGTTTTATGAAATTTCCTGGTTGGTGGTTTCAACCCCTCTGAAAAATATGAAAGTGAGTTGAGATGATTATTCCCAATATATGGAAATTCATAAAATTCATGTTTCAAACCACCAACCAGTGATGGAAAAATGGAAAGTTTTTATGAAAATTCAGTACCATCTGGCTATTTAACATAGCTATGGAAAATCCAATATAAATGGAGGTTTCTAGTTGGGAAAATCATCTGTAAATGGGCCATGGCTTCCATAGCTATGTTAAATAGCCCTCTGAAAAATATTGGTCAGGTGGGATGATTATTTCCAATATATGGAAAAGAATAAGAAAGTCATAAAAACTGTTCCAAACCACCAACCAGTGATGGAAAAAGATATTTGTTTCATTAAATTTCAGTATATTATCTGCTGATCTCCAAGTCTGAGTGAAACTGATTTCGCTGATCCCATGCTGAGAGTCTTCGCGAGCGTTGGTAGTTCCTTTTGGGCTTCCGTAAGGGCAAGGGCACCTGGAAACTGGCAGAACTGGAGATGGCAATGGGGAAAATGCTCAAACCTATCAATCATTGATGGAAAAAAAGGGGGACAAGGGTTGCTCAATTGCAGCATCTTCTAAGTTGCAAAGAGGAGATAGAACTGTAGATTGTAGGCACTGAGGGATGAGAAATTTGAACGAGGGTTTCTTGCGGTTTCTTGAGAAAACAGTGGAAGGACAGCGATTCGGTCTGGAACTCCAAGCACATCTAAAATGACTATTTAGTGAAAAACTATGGCTACAGCAAAGCCCAAAAGATAGAACAGTGAAATCCTAGAACAGGAAATCCTAGTAAAGCCCAAAAGATAGAACAGTGAAATCCTAGTAAACCATATTTTTTGATGCCATAATCCTAGTAACTTAGTGGTGAATAATGGGACTCTACCTCTTTTTGGGGTTACTCTGAATCTACCATGGGACTTCCTGAAACGATGAAGAGATTGCACAGCTTCTGAATCAATGCCAGTGCAATGCATGGCCCCTCAAGTTAAACTGGACCCTCCAAACATATCCAAAAGTGACACAATCTACTCTACGGTATTTAAAAAAACATGGCAATTGGCAATTCCCCATCGAGGTGTCTTTTTGAATAGACAAATCAAGTAATGGATATGTATTAGAATATATATTATTATTATATTATATTATTTTAGAATGGATTATTTCCATTGCCATTTTTGATTAGGCCCACTTAACCTGCCAGTAGACAGCAAACAGCAGATCAAAGGTCTTGTTGCGCTTGTCTGAAGATTGGCACCCGCAAAACCCTCTGTTTTAAGTAAGCATTCTGACCTATTGAGATGACCATTCATTACCCTCTGGTTATTTAACATAGCCATGGAACATGGCCCATTTATAGATGGTTTACCTATTAAAAATGGTGATTTTCCATGGCTATGTTAAATAACCAGATGGTAAATATCATATTGTTGCTTACCCCATTAAATACTAATTGGTGGTATACCTACCCCCCTGAAAAATATGACTTCGTCAGATTGGATCATCATCCCAACTATTGGGGAAAATAAAATTCATGTTCCAAACCACCAAGCAGAATACTATGAAATCATATCCAGTCCCATGATATGGCCCATTAGGCTGCCCGGCCATAGGAGCAGAGACCTCGTCCCAGCTGAAACTGGCATCGAAAAACTCAACGACCTCGGCGATGGCTGGTGAAAAAACGCACCGGGTCCCATGAATGGTGCGTTTTTTTTCCGCAAGTACTGCATTGGATTGATATGGGCGAATCTTAGATATCGTGCAACACCACAGAAAGAGTAATAGTTGCTTCTTTCATATTCCACAATATTCCCATCCAACAATAGCAAAACATCAAAGTAACAAACTATGCTTTCAAGTACCTAGATGTTTTTTTTCGCTGAACTCGGGTGAATGAGCACCAGGGCAGGGCACGTGCAGTTTTTAAATATGACATGGTGTTTGGGGGTTTTGCTAGTTGTCATTGTTTCCAATTATGGCGTTTTGATGTATGTATGTATACAATATATATATATATAATATTATGTTACTGTATGATAGTATGTCGACGTGTACAAGCTTTAGCATGTCCAGATACAAAGGGTTTGCTTTTCTCTACCAGTTTTCAATGCTGTTCTGGACCTAATCGACTAATCGTCAGGATATCCGTTCAATCGCATCCTGAAATTCCAGGAGAAAGTGCAAGGCATCTCACGAATCATGTACCTGTATCCAAGACCTATATCAGATAGGGGCGATTCTGGGATGTTACCCTTAGGTTGTATCACTATCTTTGTAGGACGTTACCCATTTCTCCCTGTTTTGGGGGTTGCAATCTAAGCCAAGTGGCAGGTGCTGGCAGTTTTGCCTCTTCACCTTCACCTGGAGTGTCAAATATGAGGAAAACATGCGAAAAGCGACATGGGGAACTATGGATAGAATTGTTTGGAATTTGTTCTGTATTTTTTGTTTTGTAAGTGAAGGTTTATAACTAACTAGGCTTGTTATGAATAGATTAGAGTATAAATTATGAACCAACACACATTGCTTGGGGTATCCATGTTGTAGGTCTGAGAAAACCGGATCTGCCAAGGAACCTTTTTGTTTTAGACACATGGGTTTGTGGCTGGCTGGGTGGTTTTCTTATAATATGTATACTGTATATATATAATTATATATATATACATAGAGTACAATATGTATTTATATATACTGTATAATGTATAATCCCATGAAGGGAATTATGATCCCCAAACATATTCCTATGTGCCATGGTCAAAACATGATATACGTGGTATGATCATCTCATGACTGATAGGAATGCCGAAAAAATGAGAAATAAATCCCTATCACTGGATTGATGACAATCCCCCAATGTGGATCAGTATGGGCAATTTACATCAATTTATATTACTATTACTATTTCTATATTACTATAATTATATTACTATATTACTATATTACGACTATTATATTGCTATATTACTATTATTAGCATTATCCTTAGTATATCACATGAGAGCATCGAGAACAGCTACATCAATTTACCAAGTCTTGAACATGGCTCATATGATCTCATATGGGCCTGTCAAGAAAATTATAGATTCTAACCCGAGTTAGCCAGGGCATGGCAGGATTGAGACTTCACTTTCCCTGGGGCTCCCAATTCACCTCCGATTCTCGTTTCATCGTTTCGACTGGCGCACCTGAACTGGATGAGTCGCTCTGCAAGTCTCCTGTAACGCATGGGCCACATCGGTAGTAAACCCCAAAATAGTAGGAATTGTATGATCATAAGAGTAATAGCTATTAGATAAGGGTGAACTTATAATAGCAATAAAGTGATGATGATGATGATGATGATGATGATTATGATGATGATGATGATGATGCTGCTGATGATGATGATGATGATGGTAATATAGATACCAATACCGATAATGGAACATAACCTATTAATTGACATCTATTGACCCAGTCCCACTAGTGTCCGAAACAATGCCGCACTAGAAACACTCTGATTTCCTCTGATTTTGCAGAAACGAGCAAACAAAAACTCTCCCGAGTAGAAATTCGTGTGCTTCTAAAGATCCAGTTATTAGGTTTACCGCATTGTAACAAGATTGATTGGGCCCAAAATGGGATACTGTACGGTTGATTTTGTCTTTAAAATGGGTACCCCCAAATCATCCATTTTAGTTGGATTTTCCATTATAAACCATCCATTTTGGGGTACCCCCATTCCAGGAACCCCCCAAAATAGAATATCCAAACGTGGAACATACTCAAACCTGGCCCACTCACCGCCGGACCGGACCTACTTCTACCGTCCGGCGGCGGCCAAACTTCCTGGGAAGTTTGGGGTTCCCAAATGTTCCGGATGGCAATCACCATATCACTCCCTATGGATCCAGCCGTACCTTCCTAGGAAGTGTGACTGGGGTATGATGACTAGGGGGTTAAGTACCTTCTGAGACATGGATCCATAGGGACTGACATCAATCAGGTCTTATATGGAGATTTCCTCAAATTGGGTCCCCAAATCCATTTCAGATAGGTTTTTCCACTATAAACCATCCAGCGTTTTTGGGGTAGCCCTATTTTAGGAAAGCCCCATATGGTATGGTGTCAGGTTTTGAGGGGAGATGGGGGACGTAGATTCACGATGATATTCCCAGAAACGGGACGACCGAGATGTTACCTTCGGGACTCAGCCGGAGAATTTCCCACGAACAACAAGTTATAGTGTTTAATATAGTGTTTAACAAGATTTATCACTAGTGATAAATCTTGTTATATTTAAATAAACACACTGTTAGTTTATATTTAATATAGTTGTTTAGTGACACTATTAGTGCTTAACGTAGTGCTGTCCCAACACTAACAGTGTCACTAAATGCTGTTTAAAGAGTGTTTTATTAACTTCACACGGACATCTCCCACCATTCTGACCGCTATGCTTCGTTGAAGCACAACATCCGCGGTTTCCCTGTGGATGATTTAATGGATTGTTGATGGATTACAAGGTGGTGCCCCCGTTCGTGAACGCTAAGTTGGTGAACATAACTCCAATTTCACTCTGGTTTTTGTTGGTGATATATCTATAGTTAATGGGTTTATAACCACTTTCTAACTGGAGGGGGCACCACCTTGTATGAATGGGATTTAATGAAGATTATGAATCCCTATGGATCCAGCCGTACCTTCTGAAAGGAAGTGTGACTGGGGTATAATGACGTGACTAGGGGGGTTAGCCGTACCTTCGACAGTGTTTGGATCCATAGAGTCTGTCTTTCTTCTAATTCTAATATCCCAGCCCAGAGTCTGAGTAGCCTGTCCCAACATTTTGGCAACGCTGGTACAGTTGCAGTCTCAGAAGATAGGAACGCACGACTTATTTTTGGGCACGATCCACTTTTCCAACGTGTCAAGGGACAACTCAACAGAAATCCCGAGTTTCAGTATATAGATTCCCATGGATTTTCATCAATCAATGGAACAAATAGTGTATAATCATCTTCTGGAATCCCCAGTTTTTGAATGTTTTCGAGACCCTTCAAATAACCATCCCCATCATCCCCTATGGATCCATGGCTGTCTCAGAAGGTACTTTAATATAATCCCCTAGTCATCATACCCCAGTCACACTTCCTTTCAGAAGGTACGGCTGGATCCATAGGGATCAATTCTAGCTCCAAGTACTGTACTTCCAAGCTGATGCCATTGGAAGACAAAAACCCGCCTTCGGGCGCTTGAGTCGGCCACAGGCCTAGCTCTGAAGGTTGTGGTGGGTATATCCAACCATGAGGGAGCTAGTATGGATGTACCCTCTGAACTAACATAGCTATGGAAAATGGACCATTTATAGGTGATTTACCCATTAAAGATGGTGGGTTTTCCATAGCTATGTTGGTTTACCAGAGGGGAATCGTTAAGGGTTTGATATGTTTTGATTATTTGATTATGGTTTAATCAGATTTGCAGTCCTCGTGCGGCAACCCTTGAACTCACGCAGGTTTCACAGGCCACAAACACCATCCCTGCCTCCTTGCGTCCCCCAATACCAAGGGTCTTGGCCAACTGCCCCAGAACTGGATGTGCAATACTAAAATCTTCATCGCTAGCCGTGCTGGGCATCAAATACTATAGTCTTCAGTGTAAAACCCAATATTTGGGGCTACTGAGTTACTGGGGTACCCTCCAATTCCAATGCAAAACAAAGATAAGTTTTTGCCTACTGAAATAGCCATAATTTGCAAAAAAAAAACAACGTTTCTTGGACAAACCCAAACATATCGCAACATGTAACATATCCAAATATCATGTTCTTGGTTGTATACCCCACTAACTCCCAGCAAATATCCCCATGTTTTTACCATCATTCATTGGAATAAGTGCACCATGTTTGGAGATGGTTTGGATGATTTCTTCGGCTGCCTGGGTTGCCCTGACAGGTGAAGTGACTCAATGGGTTTGGCCAAGGCTGGCGAGAGCTTGGGCATGGGCCTCGTCGAGAGGTGATGCGCTGATCCCTTGATTTTGGTTTCTTATGGGCCCGAAATGCTTCAGAATGGAACAAACGTACCCTCTGGTAAACATTTACATAACTATGGGACATCACCATGTTATAGCTGGGAAAATCAACTATTTCGACTGGGCCATGTTACAAATTACCAGAGGGTATTCAAATGAATTATTTTACTGGTTGGTGGTTTCAACCCCTCTCAAAAAAAAAAGTCAGTTGGGATAATTGTTCCCAACTGAATGGAAAAATAAAACATATTCCAAACCACCAACCAGTAGTGTTAGGCATCCCCCCGTTTTCGGAAACCTTCATCTTTTCACCAGATAAACGTTTTGTTCACATCGGGAAGCTGCCAAAAATTTGCGAGCCATGTGACCATCAACCAGTGGATTGAGGGATGCCCGATGTTCAGGTCTAAAACCATAAAACTAAAAGGCAATGATTACCCTCTGGTTATTTAACGTAGCCATGGAAAATCATCATTTTTAAATAGGTAAATCATCATAATTCATCTATAAATGGCTTGTTTTCCATGGCTATGTTAAATAACCAGAGTGTAACCATAGAAATTAATCTAATTAAAGGCAATGATGTAAACCATAAACCAGATTTAGTTTATTTATGTTTATTTGTTATATACTGACTGTTCACTGAAGAACATAGGGTGAGTCTTGAAGCATATGTTTTGTTGGTGGCTAAACAAAACCAAGAAATCTACAACTGGTGCTGAATTCGGTTTTCCTCAAACCGCAAGCCGATTCTGTAAAGAAGACAAAGTCACGTCGCAGTGCAGTACTACTGAGCCGACAGTTTTGAACCAGCAGTCCATTTTGTTATCAGTGTTCAATGGTTCAAGATAAAAGCCTGAATTTCCAAAGCAAAAACATGCAAAAACCACAGTTTGGAAGCGATGTTCTCCTGTTTTGATTGGAGACGTCCACCTTTTCGAAGCCCCAAAAATCCATCCATTTCGTGTCGAAAATCATCGGCCTCGAAGCCCTCCTTGCTGGAGCTGATGCCTGAAGGCAAGGGGATCTGAATGGTGCAGAACCACCTTGGGCCTCGAGCTTTTTGACTGGTTAGTTGAGAACGGGATCATTCATGGATTCTGGTATTCTCCAGTCTATTGGTTAGTACAATCCCCGTAATCAGACAAAGCAACCGGCTTCTGTTGCTTCAATCCCTATGAATTCCCCAACCGGGCTTCTGTTGGTATCCCTATGAATTCTCAATTCAACCACTATTTTGCTTGGTTCAATCATTAAATCCCATTCAATCCATAGTTTTCCGAGTTATATATATCCCTATGAAATCCCCAAAGCTGTGCCCCAGCGACCTCATCGCCTGGTGACTTCGAGCGAGGCCTGAGGGGAAATCATCCAGTTGTACAGGGTGGGGCCCCAGTTCGTTAGCTAAGTCGGTGCAAATAACTATAATAACAATAGTGTATGATACGCAAATAGCTATACTTAGATGGGGTTATAAACCAACTTATAACTGGGGGGGGGCATCCTGTAGATGATGTTCCCAGATTTTCAATTACTGTATAGCATCTATAACTGGGCGATGTTCAAATGTTCATGGTCGAGTCTGTAGCATCAATTATACCCTCTATAACTAACATCTAACTATAGCTAGAATCCTCCATTTAGTTCGGGGATTTTCCAGCTTGCCATGCTTGAGCAAACCAGAGGGTAAAATGATTTACCCTCTGGTAAACTAACATAACTATGGAAAATCACCATTTTCAATGGGAACATCCACTATAAATGGCCATGTTCAATAGCTACGTTAAATTACCAGAGGGTAACCAAGATTAGCAATTTATCTTTCTGGTGCTAAAGGTAGGGAACGCGATAACTACGATAACTATAAACAATCACCCCATTCCCTCATTCCCTAACACAAGTCAGTTATAGGAACCCCAAGTCATAGATAGAAAAGTGGGACATCTGGAAATATATGTAACATATCATCCAACTAACCTCCTGGAAACACTGTTTGGTATCTTTTTTGGGATAGCTGCTATATACGAGTTCAATGACTCTCATTTCAATGCCCATTTACTTCGGGGATGTCCATGGATTTCCCCCTCAAAGCAAACATGCTGTCAGGGTCATGGGTTCAGAGGTAAAAAATTGTTAGTCATTCATTTGAAACCCCCCCTAATCCGGCCAATTTAAGTGTAGTGCGAGCCACATTGTACTGTTGTACAGTTATGGCCATTTACCAGTTATAACTGGTTACTAAATGGGATTATACATTCTATAAATGGGGTTTTGTTAGTACTTATAACTGATAAATGGCCATAACTGTACCTTTTCTATGGGGTTTCGAAAAAATCTTTCAGGTGATTACCTGTCCCTGTACATTCATGATAGGATATAGGCCCTACAGGCCATGACATCATCTGGATTCCGATTTTGCACTGAATGGGTGCACCAGTCATGACGTTGAATATGTGTTTGTGCATTTGATGACTGGTTGATGATATACCTACCCCTCTGAAAAATGATGGACTTCGTCAGTTGGGATGGATGGAACTTCCCAATATATGGAAAGTCAGAAAATTCATGTTCCAAACCACCAACCAGTTGCATATTTATCTGGATGACTTCCCAAAAAAACACATCGATGAATTCCTTACGGCAAAACTCAGCAAATCACCAGACTTAGCAATTGCTTCGGATGAAAGGGTGAAAAGGCTGATGTTTGAACCATTCCCAGTCATAGTTGGTTTATGACATTGTTTTCCCCACATGATTAAGCTATATTATATATAATACCCTATGGATCCAAACATTGTCTCAGAAGGTACTTAACCCCCTAAATCATACCCCAGTCACGCTTCCTGGGAAGGTACGGCTGGATCCATAGGCCCATTTGGGGATGATTTCCTTTATTAACCATGATTTCCAGTGAGGTCGCAGTGAGGTCGTTATAATTTACCCAGAATATGTATATATATATATGTATAATATATATATATATATAATATATATATATATATATGTAGTTAGGTGACTTTTTCACCAGAGGGTATCTTCCAAATCTTGGGCTTAAATGACCCCAAAATGCTCGTTGTTTTAGCCACATTCTCCACGGAGATCTTCCATGGCAGAAGTTTTTGGAGCTCCCACGGATCGGCCAGCAGAATCTGCTCAAAACGAGTGATGGCCACCTGGGGGAAACATATCGCTTTCGATGACGAAAAAAATGGGGCATATCATGGGACGAAACAATGGTGCTTTAATGGGATTTAAATCACACAGATCATGGGAATTTTTCTCGAGATTTTTTGTGGTTAAAAAATGGGACGACAGAATGGTGTTTGAATGGGATTTAAATCATATTTTCACTCAGTATCTCCCTAACATTCCAGGCAAACCTCTGAGATAGCAAACTGGAAGGTGATGAACAACCTTATGATAACTTGGGGTTGGTTACATTTCTGATAGGTTTGCCTGAAAGTTGAGGGTTTGTGCTACAGATGTTCTATGATTTTCTCCCCAGTTGGCGCGGTTCCTGAGTTTGATGCAATCATTGGCGGCCAAATCGTGTGTCTTTCCCACTAGAATCTAAGATCAGACAAGCCATCAAACCATATCAAACCCCAAGTTGCAAGATGTTGCAATTCATATACCCTATTCACTCTCCCTATTGTACATTGGTGTATAAATATATGGGACCTGAATCAACCCCATCTGCACCTGCGCATGTGCCAAAGAGGAGAAGAGCTCCGGTAGGGCGGAGAGTGGAGCCTGAAGGTGACTATTATTTGGGGGGATGTTTAGTATATATATATGACTGAAGGTGACTATTATTTGGGGGGATGTTTAGTATATATATCCATGGTAATAATAATAATGGTTATAATATCAATGAAATATGGTTATAATCTCCATTTGTTATTTGTTTAGTATACCCTCTGGTAATTTGTTACATAGCCATGGTATAGATGGCCCATTTGTAGATGGTTTACCTATTAAAAATGGTGATTTTCCATGGCTATGTAACAAATAACCAGAGGGTAAATTGGAAATTGACTGGTGTCCATGAAATTTGAAGTTTGATGTAGATTGCCTTCAACAATGTGTACACATTTGCTGGCTTGATTTAAAGGTAGATTGACGAGAACATATAGAACAACACACAAGAACCATGGTTTCTGCCGCTAAATGTCAGGTTTTCCTGCAAATGTTCCCTAAGCCAGTTCTGAAATAGTTGGCAAATTGATTGCTGAAATAGGGCCTTGAAAAGATTATATGATTTCGTCAATTGGGGACCATGAATACTCTTTGGGGATTGATAATGAAACACATTTGTCGCATTTTCAGACTCAGATATCTTAAGATTAGCGAAGCCTTGGGTTAAGCTTGTGAAAGGCCACATTTAGACACAGCAGAATGTTCGGTCTGCCCACTTTAGAGCCGAACCCAAATCACACAAGCTGGTGCCCCTCCCACTTATGTCTGTTGGTTTTGGTTGACCATGGTAAGTAGTTCGATATGTCTAGATATATCAACATATTTATCTGATTTTATCAGTAACTATTTCGATATATATCATGATATATCATGACTGGTTGGTGATTTCAACCCCTCTGAAACATATTAGTCAAATGGGAGTATTTTTTCCATTATGTAAAAAGAAAAAATGTTCCAAACCACCAACCAGATCATATAGTAAGTTGCCAACATTTACTAGTTTATCATTTACCTATTCCATCCTATTCCATCACATATATATATATATATATCATCAATCTACCAAAAACTCAAGTGACATTGGACTTCGTTCACCGTGTTTCCGCGTGGCGTCACCCCGGGGCACCGGGGACCCGCATGGCGTTGAAGAGCGCCAAGGCTGAGAAGACGGAGGAGGCCCTAAGGCGACCACCGAAGACGGCGAAGACCTCGGTGGAATGGCCGCCTGGTTGGGCCATGGTGAACAGGTTATTATAACATATTATAACATGGTAAGTATACCCTCTGGTAAATATGGTTATAATATGGTTATAATATGTTATAATATGTTATAATATGTTAATATGTTATATAATAGCAAGAAGAAGTACCCTCTGGTTATGACTAACAGTTCGCCATGGTTTGTCGATGGCCCATAGAAATAGATGATTTTCCCAGCGAACTAAACCTCCATTTATAAGGGATTTTCCATGTATAGTATATGCCCATATGCTCCATGTATAGTATATTTACCTACAAAACTGGGTGATTTTTAGAGGTAAATGTTGGCAAATATACCATAGATGGAGCATATGGGATGGTCTATATAGAAGTTTAATATAATTATACCAGTGTAGCAAAGAATAGTATACCAGTATTAAGTTGGTTTAATACTGATTATAGCAGTATAGCATAGTTTAGACATATGATATAGTTAGAGTTAGATTGGCAATAAACAAACAACCATCACTTTTGGGGACACCAGTGGTGTAGGCACCCAGTGTGGAGGGTGGAGTTCACTTGTAGTTGACTTCAAAGATTCGGGTAATCGATTTAAATGATTTAAGCATGAAGAATGGGGATCTCAACGTTGAGAAGAAATTAATAAATTGGGATTATAATAAACTGATTATTGGGATAATAAATAGTCAATGGGGATCTTTTCATGAAATCGGGATTTATAATAAACTCGAATGAAAATAGGTAAATTAATTCAGTTCTAGGCAGTCCTTTGGATGTTTATGGTGGATAGGTCACTAGGTACCAACTTCCTGGTGCCGGGCAACATCAACCAACAGCCCCATAACCGGGGGAGGATCTTTCACCTATCCACCATTTAGTTCGATGATTTTCCCATCAAAACACCAACTACAGAGGACTTTTGATTGCCATGTTTGATTACCAGCAGGTATCCGACAAAAGAACTGACAGGAATTACCCAGGTTCGTTTGTTTTCCCATCTTCCTATTTGTGGGAATATAGCCTCCTGGATTTCCTGCTGGAAAATCACCCTAAGTTTGACCAGTGCCAAAATTAAGGATCAGTGAATTTTTATGAATTGAACTGGGCTCAAGGTTCGATTGAAGGACATGTCAGCAGCATCATTATCGCCACGGCGATCATCAACGCAGAGTGTTCTCAATCGTTTGGCGTCATCGTCCGTCGTCGTCGTCGTCGTTGTCGTCATCGTAATCATCATCATCATCATCCTCAACGTCATCATCCTTGTCGCAATCATCGCCATCATCACAATCACAATCATCATCATCATCATCAACAACAACAACAACGAAAACCAAATTCACAAAAAAAACAAACAATAATCATCAAACATGCATATTGGATCATCATCACCCTATATGTATCCAGCCGTACCCCAGCAAGGACTTGGATCCATAGGGATAGAATAGTCGTCGTCAATGGGGGGGGGAACCTTTTACCACATCACAAGTATCTGGAATACAAATTATATACTAATTATCATCACAATGATCATCACAATAATCATAATTATATCATTAATTATCATTACATACTGGGGAACTGGTTGGTGGTTGCCAAACCATCTTGAAAAATATTAGAATATTAGTCAATGGGAAGGATTATCCCCATATATTGTGGAAAATACAAAAATTACTTTACTTCGTGTGATCCCCACCATGACATTTATACATTTTCTTACTGGCAAATCTTCTGGCATTCTATCTGACATATCTTCTGACATTCTATTTGACATTCTATCTGGCATATCTTCTGGCATATGATCTGGCATATCTTCTGGCATATCTTCTGGCATTCTATCTGGCAAAACTTCTGGCATTCTATCTATCTGGCATATCTTCTGGCACTCTATCTGGCACATATCTTCTGGCATTCTATCTGGCATATCTTCTGGCATATATTCTGACATATCTTCTGGCATTCTATCTGACATATCTTCTGGCATATATTCTGACATATCTTCTGGCATATCTTCTGGCATATCTTCTGGCATATCTTCTGATATATCTATCTGGCATATCTTCTGGCATATTTTCTGGCATTCTATCTGGCAAATCTTCTGGCATTCTATCTGGCATTCTATCTGGCATATCTGGCATATTATCTGGCATTCTATCTGGCATATCTTCTGGCATATCTTCTGGCATATCTTCTGACATTCTTTCTGAAATTTTTTCTAACTTTCTTCTGCACATTCTTTGTCCCATATCTTCCTACATGAGGTCCGGCAGGGAACACTTGGCGTGGATACTCGCGGTTGAGGTCCGGCAGGGAACACTGGGCGTGGATGGTCGTGGTTGAGGTCCGGCAGGGAACACTGGGCGAGGATGGTCGTGGTTGAGGTCCGGCAGGGAACATTGGGCGTGGATGGTCGTGGTTGAGGTCCGGCAGGGAACACTGGGCGTGGATGGTCGTGGTTGAGGTCCGGCAGAGAACACTGTGGATCGCGGGTCGCAGTTGGACGAGGACGACGAGGACGACGAGGACGACGAGGACGACGAGGACGACAAGGACGAGGATGACAAGGAGGACGAGGAGGAGGAGGAGAGGAGGACGAGGCAGGAGGAGGCGGAGGAGGAGGAGAAGGAGGAGGAGGAGAAGGAGGAGAAGGAGGAGGAGGAGGCAACTGACATAAAATCTAACAACCCTCACCTGGCAGGTGGGGAAAAATATATTCCAAACCACCAACCAGACAACAAAAGAAAACAACAAATCAACACCATGAGATTCCCGAAAAAAAAAACTGAGGCACCGTGAAGGTGGTGAGACTGACCATGGTTGGCGCGATGGTGGCCAAAGTGGAAGACATGGCCTGCCCAAGACACGAAAATGGAGACTTCATGGAGGAAATGGTGGGTTAGCAATCGCAAACATCTATCATCCGATATGACTGTAATGACTGGCTCATATGACTTATATTAGTTATATGATCTGTTATGATCTGTTATGATCTGTTATGATCTGTTATGATCTGTTATGATCTGTTTTGACTTATGACATGTTATGACATGTTATGACATGTTATGACATGTTATGACATGTTATGACATGTTATGACATGTTATGACATGTTATGACATGTTATGACCATCTGGGAATCTAAGAGTTGCTGTGGAAGCCACTTGAGTCCTTAGTTCCAGGTGAACATTCGATCTCATGTGAAATGGCCTTTTTTTTGGGTTATGGCGGTTATGGGGATGGGTCAAGTTTTTTATGAGTACCATATGACTAGGATAATAACATATAATCACCATCCACAAAATCCCAGCTATGACTTCTTGGGTACCGTTTGGGTACCGTTTGCTTTTGACCCATAGCTCCCGGTCTGCATCAGAACAGTTTGCAATCGACCTGAAAGCCATTGAGATACCGGGATGATATAAAACTATATAAAACCCATGTACTAGCCATTAGCCATCAACTAGATTTCAGGTACCAACAAATCATGTCAATATAGAACGTGCCAAAATGAGCCATAGAGTTACTTGACTGTTGATCGTAAGCGCATATGAAGGATATGAAACATGCAATGGCTCAACAGTCAGCCAACTAACTATGGCTCGTATAAGCGTACCTTCAAGTGAACATAACTATGGAAAATGGTCACTTTGTAGATGACTTGCATACCTGTTAAACATGGTGGTTTTCCGTAGCTATGTTAGATTACCAGAGGGTTACATGGCATTGCATAAATAACATAATCAGTAATTCGTAAGCCATCCCACCTATTAATCGTATTAACTGCTTAGCAACCATATACTATGGATCCATGGCCACTGTCTGAGAAGGTACTGCTAACCCCCTAGTCACGTCATACCACAGTCGTAGTTCCTAAGAAGGACGGACGGATCCATAGGGAATAGCTATAACCATAGTTGTAACCATAGTTGTAACCATAGTTATAACCATATTATTACCATATCAACTGCTATAGTTAGCCATACTGAAGTCGCCATAGTTTAGCCATAGTTAAGTAAATATACATATAGCTATATATATATATACATAGTTATATATATATACACATATGTTTATATATCTATGGTTTAAACTCATTGCTTAGATGGGCCACTCCTGCCGAGCCTTCAAGATCGCCTCCCAGCGCAACGCTCGCAGCTCCACCAGACGCGTCTGTTGAATCTCTTCGAAGCACAGGGCCTGGCAGCCAGGGCACAGCGCTCGATGGGAGGTGTCAGCTCCAGTTGGGGATGGGAAATCATCAGCTCCTGGGAAAATGTTCAATGTGGCCCCCCCAGTGATGTTAGTTGGTTTAGATTCGCCCTAGTAACTATATTGGAGCTATGTTCACCAACTTAGCTATCGTTTGGGGGCCTCACATTGAAGGTTTGTCTGATGAATGGGCAACTGGGAAATGAAATGAATGGTTACTCTTGCTGATTTTCCACCCGAACTGATGACACCGGAGGGAATTTTAAGGCCAATACCATGGTTTGAGGATGTGATTGGAACTACCAATCATACGAGAACTGAATGGGATTGGAGAGGGAATTGATCCCGAGTTGCCACCTACTACACAATATACACAACATCCACTCATAACATCTGAGCCTAACATTCAATGTAGGCGTGGATTTCCAACTCACGGACTTTACAGCGACCAAGTGGTTGGTGGAAAAAAGTTGCTGCGCATCTCTTGAGGAATCCCATTTCCCGATCAGAATTACCCCCCACCCCAGAATGAACCGCCCCTATTCCCGTTTTTCGGACTGGGTGCAGGGGAAGGAATGACCGACCTCCCATTGATGATGGAAAATTCATGCGGATGTCTCTAAAACATCCGGAGTCAACTTGATTCAACCCCTCCAGATAGCCTGTTGAATGGAGATACAGTAATCATGTTTTTGCAGAATCTGATGGATTCAGAATTTTCCCCATGAGAGAGACAACACCATCTATATAACTACAGGATACACCCTAAGT